TATAATAATAATAATAATTAACGGTTTATTGAAAAAGTTCTGCAGCCCGAAGGCTGAAAATATACATTGGACATAAATGACTTATTACATACATTGGTGGTTTAACAAAAGCCTTCATCAGAGAAAGGTAAATGAACATACAGTGAACATACAGATTAATGTAGGTGTTGAACAGCAAACACGTTGTGTAGTAACTCCCTCCCAGATGGTGTTAGGAAGGACCTCACGTGGTGTAATAGTTCCCTCACAGATGGTGTTATGAGGGGCCTCACCTGGTGTAGTAATTCCCTCACAGATGGTGTTATGAGGGGCCTCACGTGGTGTAGTAATTCCCTCACAGATGGTGTTATGAGGGCCTCACGTGGTGTAGTAATTCCCTCACAGATGGTGTTATGAGGGACCTGACGTGGTGTAGTAATTCCCTCACAGATGGTGTTATGAGGGGACCTCACGTGGTGTAGTAATTCCCTCACAGATGGTGTTATGAGGGGCCTCACGTGGTGTAGTAATTCCCTCACAGATGGTGTTATGAGGGGACCTCACGTGGTGTAGTAATTCTCGTGGTTTCACAGATGTAGTGTTATGAGGGGCCTCACGTGGTGTAGTAATTCCCTCACAGATGGTGTTATGAGGGGCCTCACACGTGGTGTAGTAATTCCCTCACAGATGGTGTTATGAGGGACCTGACGTGGTGTAGTAATTCCCTCACAGATGGTGTTATGAGGGACCTGACGTGGTGTAGTAATTCCCTCACAGATGGTGTTATATGAGTGAGGTGTGGTCCCAGGCCTTCCTATCGTAGACGGATTAACACATCGCTGGTTGTTGGGTCTCACGGGCCGTTATCACTGAGTACCTGGGACCTCACTGTGTGAAGGTTAACTTGGGTACTACTGTTACTGTTGAGTTGTTCTCACTGACTTAAGCACTGTTCACCACTGTTCACCTCTGTTTAACACTGGTTCCATTCCTTTCCTAAATGAAATTGTAACTTCTGGCGAGAACTTGCTGATATTCCGGTGGGGAGGAGGGTTCAGGGGAAGGGGCTGGTATGGGCCAACTTAACAGTTGACCTGGCTGCTCCGAGAGGAGCGCCAGGTACGTCTTGACCCTTCGGTCAAGGCAATTCTCAGGTGTGGATGAGTGCATCTTTTCTTGGTTAAAAGTTTTTTAGTACCAATAAGATGGTAAGTAGTTGAAGTTCTGGTGTATCCTTTCTAATATGAAGGATATGTAATTATTATTATTTTTATTTTTTTGTGGGGGGCGAGTTTTGTGACAGCCAATAGGATACAATACTCGCGTTCTGTATGAAGGATAGCTGGTTCATGCCCAGGGCAACCCCAGTCCACCATGCTGTGAACGAGTACAGGTACCCTTATTTACTGTTTGGGAAGTGAAGGCAGTCGAATTCAGTGCCGGCCATGCTGCCTTTTTGCGTACCAATACTTTTATCCTCTTCGCCACTGATCGGCTTGTTAGCCGCTTGGGCGATCGGTCACGTCTCTTTTCCTTTATATTCTTCACCAAAAGGTCGGCTCGCTAGCCGCCCGGGCGATCGGTCACGTCTCTGTCACGCACTGTTGGCAAATACTGGGTATGCACCGGCTCCTGAATGTACCTGAACCCGCTCCAGTGTTGGTCAAGTCTTCTCTTGAAAGAGCTCACACTCGGTGCCGTCACAACACTCTCTGGTAGATTGTTCCAAGAGTTTACAACCCTCACTCCGAAAAAGTTTGCCCTCACGGTTTTCCGGACTTGCGGCTTCTTCAATCTTGAGCTGTGACCCCTTGTGGGGCGAGCGTCCGCCAGCTCCAAGTAAGGACACTCAACTGAGTAGTGCCCCCTGAGATGCTTATAAACCTCAACTAGGTCCCCCCTTGCCCGTCTGTAGTATAAGCTAGGCAAGTTCAGGCGCTCCAATCTCTCAGGGTAGCTGAGATGCCGAAGTGCAGGCACCAGTTTGGTGGCCCTCCTTTGAACATTTTCAACCAACTGACAGTCCCTAGCATATCTCGGGGACCAGATGGGGTGACAGTACTCCAGATGGGGAAGCACTTCACTCCTGAAGATCGTCACGAGGGACGGACCGTCTAGATATCTGAACGACCTTCTTATAAGACCCAATAATTTATTTGCCTGATTTACCTTCTTCTCACAATGGCCCGAGAACTTCAGCTCATTGTCAACATACACACCTAGGTCCTTCTCACACACAGTCTCAACTAGTACATTTTCTTCATCCCGTTGGGACATATGGTACGCCTCCTTACCGTTGGTACGCCCCAGGTGCATCCTCTTACACTTCGTGACATTGAATCTCAGCAGCCATTCCTTCGACCATTCCTGGAGCCCACAGAGGTCCTTCTGCAGCTCTTCACAGTCTGCTTGGTTCTTAATTTCCCGAAATAACTTGGCGTCATCGGCAAACATTTGTATGGAGGAGTGTACAACGTCAGGCATATCATTTATGAAACAAACAAACAACAGCGGGCCCAATACACTACCCTGCGGTACCCCACTTGTTGCAGGTACAGATGACGATTTCGTGCCATTAATCACCACACATTGCTTGCGGTCATGTAGAAAGTCTTCTATCCACGCTAGGACATTTCCCCGAATTCCGTACCCTTCCAGTTTGATTTTCAGCCTTTCGTGGGGTACTCTGTCGAAAGCCTTGGCAAAATCTAGGTAAATATTGTCGATATTACCACCCCGTTCTAGAATATGGGTCCAAATATCCAATACCTTGAGCAATTGTGTCAAGCAAGAGCGCCCCGGCATAAAACCGTGTTGGCAATCTTTTACAAGGTTGTTTCGTAGTAGATGTTCCATCGCTGCATCTCTGATAATACTCTCAAGTACTTTACATATTATGCTGGTCAGGCTCACCGGTCTATAGTTGTTCGTGGAGTGCCTATCGCCCTTCTTGAAGATAGGACTCACATAAGCCACTTTCCATTCACTGGGGACCATTTGTTCATCCAGGCATTTACAAAACAGAATCTTCAGGGGCTCTGCAAGCTCGTTGCACAGCTCCCTTAGCACTCTAGGATGCACCATGTCAGGTCCAGGACTCTTATGGACCTTTAGCCTGGACAGTTTATTTCTAATACCCTCTTCTGTGAACACAATGTGGGTCAGTGCTGTGTCGAACCGTCTGTCCTCAAACGCAGGAAGGTTAGTTGCATCCTCTCTTGTGAACACTGAGGAAAAGAAGCTGTTCAATGCCTCAGCTTTATCCTGGTCAGAATCTGCGTAACTACCATCTTCAAGCCTCAGGTCTGATACTCCTACTCGCGTTTTCAATTTCGACTTTGCATAGCGGTAAAACGCCTTTGGGTTTGACTTGACCTCACGTGCAACCAGCCTTTGGAACTCCTTTTCAGCCCTCCTACACTCTATCTTTGCTTGGTTTCTGGCTCTTGCATACATCCTCCTGTCTTGCTCATCGTTTGACCCAACCCACGTCTTGAATTTCAATGGTTTCGTATTCATAGTGCTGCCTTCCATTGTACCATTGACTTAGTCCCCAATGGTCTTTCAGGCCAATAGGACTAACTTCAACTTTTTTTTCATATTTAACAGATTTGTCGACTAATCTAAATATAATGATGTTTTCCCAGTACTGTACTTCAGATTAATGTTACTATTAGTTATGAAGAAAAATCTGACCAAATGCTTAGTTTTATCAAGGCTTTTCTGTCTAACCTCATAGAGACCGACAAGTTACGTATAGGATAAAAGTATATTTTATTTGGTACTGTAGCTACTGCAAAAACCATAGCTCCTTTAACTTTAATGTAGCTTAGCATGGGTTTTGCTTTATAAGTTATTAATTTTGTAATTAATGAACAAAATTAAACCACAATTGTAGGTTACTGGACCGTAGTTCGTCAATTAGCAGCTACTAGTGCGTCACTTATTCCCGTTAGTGGGTGAAGTGTAGGGTGACGGCCCGTTGTAAGTCACCCTCTCACCTACCCTCACACAAACTTCCCTTTTTGCTGTTCAGGTTGTCAACAATCTAGGGTCGACTCATTCTAATCTGCGTAACTGTTTCCTTTACTGCTATACTAAATATCTGTATACACTCATCTTGGTGCTACTATCGTATGCGGTCTACCGAGCTGGAGTTGTGATTGCCGGGATATTTACACGAACAGCCATTAACCTAACCTAATCTAGGTTAGTTAGGTGAGGTTAATAGACGCTAGTGTAAATATCACAGTATACCAACTCCAGCTAGGTAGACCGCATACAATAGTAGCACCCACATCTTGAAAAATAAACGAATTTCATTAATAGACTTGGTTGACGTTTGACCTACTTCCGTCTACTGGAGCGTAAATAAAAACATGACTTTGCCTTAGTTTGTTCATGGCAGTAACTTCAGCTTATTAATTAAGTTATTGTTTATGTCAAAACAAGTAGCTGTGTTTCCAACTATATATTTGTTTCAAGTTTCCTGCTCTCAGTGAACTAGGGTGTTGACCTCTCCATCTCACTGTGCCCCAAAGGTACCGCTACGTGGAGTCTCGCTGCCACCCTCCTTCAACCCCTTGTCGTACACATTTGCTCTATTTTTCTTTTGTATAGTTTAAAAAAATCATAAATTGGCGTTTTTAATGTTTATTTTAATCAGTTTAAAGAAAGGTAAAGTTTAACACGCTTAGTGAGGTGGGAATGATAATTATCGTTCGTCTGGTAGTTACTTAACACGTGGCCAGTGATGTCACCAACAAAGCCTCGAGTTGGCGGTACGAATTTAATGCCGAAGTATTTATTTTGTCTTATTTAAAGTTTATGTAATTATAGAACATATAGATATGTTATCACACCACATTTTAATCTTGCAAAGTTCATTTTCAATTTCCTGTGCTCATATTTTCCAGATATAAACTTGCTCATTAAGGCTAACTGCTCACTGACACCGGTACGAGGTACGGGTGGGATCTTTAAAGCTTGCGTGCGAGGATACCTACAACTGCTACGAGAAGTAACAGTAGTACCGTAGTTTTAATGGAAAGAGGAAGGTGTAATGAACCTAGTGATGTCTTTTCGTTTGTTCTGAGAACTTTTGAAAGTGGTTGAAACTGTCGTTGAACGCTGTTACACTTGTGAAAATTAAAAGGTGCTCTTCATGATAATGATATAAGTTAAAAGTTCATTAAAATCTAATTTAAATATTATACACAAACGTAAGCAAGATTGTACAATGAGTAATAAATATGTACAAGTATCGCGTGTTCATATTTCAACGCGATCTACGTCGAAAACTTGTGAAACCAAAGATAATAAATCGCATAACTTATTAAATGCACAAGTCAGCTCATCCAACAGAACGTGTGAAACTAACCGTAGTGGGTTGGCTCTACTAGAGAGAACTGTGGAATACATTGTTCCACCAAAGACGTCAGATGATGCAAGAGGAGTCATGGCATTGGATTTATTATTGAGAATACCAATCACGCGAAGACGGCAGACTAGAGCCAGTTACTTTAATGTATGTCAGCCGGCATGGACGATGGTGTTGTTGTCTATGGTATTGACGCTTGTCCTTATTAACGATATGAACACCTACGGCAACCTACATTACAGGCGGCGCCGAGAAGCCCTTCTGCAGGGTCTTGCTCCGTCACCCAGTGATGTAAGGAAATTTTCTTATTTCCCGTTAGAGTTACATGTATTTTTGTATATTTTATAAAGTATTATTTTTACTATTAAATGGAACTGTCTTTCATATATTTAACATAAGCAATAAAAGTTTGTACTTATTAATGGGGATCCATTCTGACTAGTAATAGTACCAGGGCATTAGTGAGTGATTCATAAAGGTAAAAACCTTGTTGCAGTAGGTTAATAATCACATGATCTTCACTTGTCCAATTTGTGACTAATTATGGGCGAGTGTAGATGTTATAACACATTTAAACACTAAACAAAGCCTAATTCAACCTTGGTGACATTTTACAGACTTTGTTTCTTACTTTATCTTGATAATTGAAGTTGGAACTGTAAGTGCCTGCACACTTCGTTCCATAAGTTATGGTGTGCTATTATCGTTTCCCTGCTAGTTTGTATGGACTCTCAAGTGAACAAGAAAAAGGGAACTTGTATCGATATTGCTTCGTCTGTAATAGTTGGTGTTGTGTCGTGGGTTGGCTCTCAACCTGTCCGGTAAGTGGTGCCACGTCCGTAAAGTTGACGCTATTTAAATAAAGTTGTTAAAATGTAGATTCACTACTTTAACCCCCCCCCCTCCCCATGGCCGTCATTAGTATATTCTCATGAAAATTTAATGCACTCGCATTTCCTTTAATTGTTTTGATTTATTGAGTGTAGTTTGTATATATACTATATATATATTTCATGTAGATCCACAATGAAAACGTGGATAAGATAAATCTTGATAAAATCATACGGGAAAAGGGAAACAACGGAGATAGTTGTGAGATAGAGTGGAGCTCATCACATAACTTCCTCATTAGTTCACATTCACATATAATCAGTATTTGAAGGTGTGTCATTCATACATGGTGAATATATTATGTTTTATAAGTATACTGTACAACATACAGTAATTTCCTCTACATACAACTACAGTACAAGGTAATGTCTGGTGTACAGCCATGTACAGTATGCTACATACAGCCTCAGGTGTTCATCACAGGTGTTCCTCAAGTGTTTCTCTACATATGCCACGTGTTTAATATACTACGTATATTAAACTTTGTTCAGCCAGTGTTTAGGCTTCATGATGTTGATTTTGGTTACCGATCATGATGAGAATAATATGATAATGTTAATAATGATACAGGTGATAAAAATAGTCAGTCCCTGCTCATCCTCATTAATGAGTTTTAGAATCATATAAGTTACATCAGTTATCATCATTATGAAGTCACCATTAACGCTCACAGTTACACTCTGTAGTCATCATGACTCCTTCTCTCTACCCCAGGAAGTACCTGTATATCCAACCCTGCATGTTGAGGTGTACTATGAAGCATTGTGTCCCGATAGTCGGTACTTCATCATGAAGCAACTCACCCCAGCGTATGAGAAGCTTCACAAGATCATGCACATTGCCCTGGTTCCCTATGGCAAGGCAAGGGTAAGTCAGGTTACACCGTAGTTTCACATAGTGTGTGGATCCTAAACCTGTATTGTATTATGCAGTCTGCTACCTCTCTCTCTCTTCATACACACACACATACACACACTCTCTTCCAATTCTAGGGATTAGCAACGGTACATTTTATGTTGTAATTATAGACAGGTACTCAGTAAATTAATTTAATTAACAAAGAACCTAACCTCACCTCTCCATTTCTTTGAATTTTTGTGGAAATATTTGATCCAGTTATTATTCCACATACAGTAGTAATATTTTCAGGGAATGCTTTTTTATTTATTTTTTTTTTTTAACAGTACTATTACTGTACTTCTATTGGCATCCTTCAAATTAATTAATGGAAACCTTTACAGACCCAGGAGAAGGATGGGAAGTTTATCTTTGACTGCCAGCATGGACCAGTGGAGTGCAGGGCCAACATGGTTCACGCATGTGTCACGAACTTAGTTAAGGAAGAAGCCAAGCAACTAGCAATCGTCCATTGCATGATTGATAAAAATGATGCACCCATGAAGATTGGGCAGAAGGTCAGTTGGTGGTATGGCAGTGGGAAGGTTACTAAGTTGCTGGTCTTGCTGAGTTTCATATTTCTGTTGCTAGATACTATTTTGGTTTTTGCTTTCACTGTTTGCATATGTTTTTCAGAACATTTGTGTTGGAACAAGAGATTTGGAGTAAACTTTTTGTGGGATCTTGAAATTGTCTTTTTGTTTTAGTGTAGTACTGTATGAAGCAGGGTAAGGTGATCAAATAAGTTTTGGGGTTGTTAACCCTTTTAGAGTTTTTCCTTTGTTAATGTCTTTTTACTGGACTGTTTTCAAATTATATATTGCCATTTTTGGTGACATTATGAAGTATGTGAGTGTAGATATTATCAAAATGTGATTAATCCATAGTGTGCAGGAGGAGGAGGAGGAATGTTTGGAATACTGTAATTGAAAATGACGATTATTGTATGTGCTTTCATAGGCATATAAGTTTGGGTTCGTTTAACATTAATTGCTCCTTTACACTAAAAGTAATCTATAATATTGCAAATGTAAACCTTTAGTGTACAGTACTGTACATTACAGGTATAGACATTTAGCATTGATGCTATTTGTCACTGTTCTGCTCATACTTACAAGTTTATAGTGTCTTGGGTCCATCCTGTAAGTCTTACATGTCCAATACAGTGTGTAATTATCTTCACAAGGAAGACAACATTTAACCCCTTCACTATAGGATGCGTCTTAGTATTTTATTTGGCCAGCACCAGATGATTTTATTCAGCCGAGAGAACCCCATACACAAGTGGTTAAGACTATTTTTTTTAATTCAGTATTGTTTTTTCTTCCCAGTGTGTTGAAAAGTACAGTGAGAATTGGGAGGACGTTGAGTCATGTGTGCTCTCAGATAAGGGCAGCAGCATAATGAAGCACATGGGTGATATGACCAACAATCTCAAACCCCACGTGTCCTTCATCCCAACCATCACTATTGACAGGGTAGGTGATTTGTTGTGTGAGTACTGGTGCCATATAGACATACTGCGACTATTGATAGTGTGGAGAAGACATGTAATTGCCACTGATGGTACGCTATATGGCAGACCTTATTACCATTAAAAGTGTAGAGCAGACACTAATGTCATGGACGTTATAGTGTAGTCTTTAAGGCCATTGATGGTACAGGGCTAACATTAATTCTGTATAATTTTGGGTGTAGGGCTGATAGGTAAATACCAATGTTATTATAGGTCAGACAATAGTGAAATTGATGAAACAGGGCAGGTCATATTGATACCATTGATGTTATAGGTGAAATTGGGTCTTTTATGGTTGATACCAATTTTAGGAGCAGTGCAGATAGTACAGTATAGCACATGAAATATCAAACCTCTGTTACACAAGTAGGTAGTTTTGCTGACATGGCATGAATTGCCTTCACTTCCTGAACTGTTATGTTTGATACCAACCATGGCTAGGTCAACTTAGGTACCCCAGGTAGTCAATAGAAAGGGCATCTGGTTGTAAAACTTGTTTAAGATTTGCTTTTTCACAACTTGTACACCATGCCCTCAGGTAATCATGGCTAACCCACACAAATGTGGAAAATGACCTTGAAATAGTGATGATAATGTGTGAATTGGCCCCTAAATTATTAAATATATTTAATAATAGTTAAAATTTGGGAGGATAATTTGTTTGTATTCTTTCAGAGTCAGGATGATCAGAAGCACATCCTACAGGATCTTCATAAAATTTTATGCAAGAGATTTAAAGGACCAAAGCAGCCATCCTGTTAATTGTGGGTAAAGTGCAGCTTGCAAGTTCTTAGCTTTTGGGAGATGGAAGAGAAAGTTGTTGTCTTCTTTTTGGAAGCTTTTACTTTTGTTTCATTCCATAAAGTACTGTACCTGCTGTGAGCCACAGGTGATGCCAGATATCACTAACTGCAAGTTTGTATCTGAAATTTAGTATTTTTAAAAGTGATGATGAGTTAATGTGATACAAATGATGATACATGATTCTCAGGCTTTTAAAATTTATAATTTCTCTAAGATTTAAGAGTTAATAGCAACTACTTAAGCACTATTTATTTAAATAGACTTTGTATGTATTTTGATAACTTTGAGGATTTTATTGGATAATTGAATAAGAGCAAAGTGTGAAATTCTCATAGAATGAACTTCATGTATAAGAAAGAACTATACAGTAGCGTCGGGATATATAGCGAGATAGGGTCCAAGAATGTTTGCCATATACTATATCGCGATATATAATTCCTTGTAATCAATGGGGAAAATAGGGTTAGGTTCTGGAGGCCAATAAAAGTGACTAAACTTGACTGAACGAGTTTATTTCTTACTAACTAAAGCACCAATGAACACTTGACTCGGGAACACCAGACTCAGGAACACCAGACTCGGCAGCTGACGCACCATCCCTTGAACACCAGACTTGGCAGCAGACGCCACACTGCCACCCTCACTTGACAATCCCACACCTACATTAACGAACAAACCAAAAATACTAGTTACAGTATTAAATCTTTTCCATTAAGCCTTCCATTCTCTTCACTTTTTTCCACGTCACTAGCAACCCATTTACACTCACTTTTGAAGTTGGAATCTGCAGCAGAGTCAGCTGCTGACTCATCACTCGCACCGCTCGACTCACAGCTAGCCTCCTTTTGATTTCATTAAATATGTCTTCTTTGACATCTTTTTCCAGTTTATTCCTGTTTCATCACAATTTCAGATTTAGTCTGGAGTATAGCCACCTTCCTCAACCACTATTTTCCAATCTATCTTCACTTTTTCCGCTGTAGGTGTATCGGCTGAGACATGCAGCGTAATTCAGTCTCTTGATGAAGCTGTGAAACCAGCCTTGGCTAGCTGTGAATTTACATTCACTTGCTGGCTTTCCTTCTTGCTGAAGCAGACGTTTCTGTATTTCCATTGCTTCATTCTTTATCATTGGAACTGATATAGCAACTTTACTGCATTGCATGTTTTCAAGAGCTGAATCAGAAAGACTGTGCGGGCGAGCGTGAATGCGTGAGTGAGCAGCCACGGTGGCGCCTCTGATGAGCAAATAACGCATTTGTTTGCCATGGCGGTACATTTGAAATATTTCTTGTCCGATTTCCCTCATGAAATAAATAGATTTATCGCTATATAATGGAAAATGTCGATAATTTTGGTAGTCGCGATATAAAAAAATCTTTATAAAAAATCGCTATATATCCCGACCCTACTGTACATATTTGTCACAATTATGGTTTTTGTGTATGTTTGTGAACACAGTGTGGTAGTATTCATGTGTGATAGTGCATTGTATGACAGCTCAAAAGTTGAACCATTTGCTTGGCACCACAAATAAACGTACTGTACTTTTCAAATTGTCCTCCACTTTCCATACATTTTTTTTTCCTCCAGATATGCGACCTTAGCCAAGAAGGTGTAATAAGAATTTTTTCGTGAGTAATTCAAATGCTGTGTATAGCCTATTTGAATTCTCTTACTAGTCCCTTTCAAACCTTGTTGATATTTTTTGGCCCATTTTACGAACAGTTTATACAGTACGGGTACATAAATTTGTATCTTTGGGCTGGGATTATACAAGGTTTTTGACTATTCCTTGGACCAGTGCACTGAAGCAAACGGGAGGAAAACAAGTAGTTGCAGCTGATGTTTGGTAATTATGCTTGCATTTTATATTTTGAATGAAATGTGGATTTTAATAATGTTTTTGTGAAATATGACCTCAAATAGTTTTATAATCAGTGGATAGTGCAATTTGTGGATTGTTCTTCTGTATGGTGTGTACTTCTTTACACTTTCTGGTATTTAATATATATCCTCCATCATTTTACCATTTGCTGTACAGTACAGTGGGAAAGGCATGGCAGATGTAAATATCTTTTATTTCCCTTATTAGAGCACATGCCAACTGAAATTCAGAGTTGTTTAAATAGAGGACTAGTTCTTGTTAGGCTTATTATCGTGTGTTGGTAGAGCCAAAATTTTTAGTGTAAAGTATTTCAATATATTTCCAGTGTTTTGAAGCACATTTCACTGGGTGTTGCTGGATTGCCTGACTGTTGTTCACACACACATATAAGATCATAGGGTCATTACTGAAAATCTTATTGTCATATACAGTATTCAGATATTCTCCGTTTTCTAATTGTCTGTATGGGGATAGCAAAATGAATGTGTCTTAAGATGCTACATTTAAACTATAAAAAAAAATTGTACAGTATTCCTCATTATTGATAATGTATTTGTTTAATATGGTAATTCCTCTCATAATGTAAATATGAGATTTTAACACAATATTATTGTATGCTGTGTATCTACCCAACAATTTGTCTCCCATTATCCAACACGGTAACTTTTACATAGTTTCCTGTGTCAGTCTGTCTTTACACATCTCCAGATCCCTCCTTATTTACACCCCTACCTCCTCTGTTTAGTGAATAGGGGTCTTTTGTTTTTACCCTAGCACCTGGATTGGCTTCTCTGTCAACATACACTTATCCAAATTTTTTTAGCAAATTTAATCAGTTTAAGTTCCCTCCTGAGAACTAATGTTTAATGGTATGACATAGTAAGAGAATTAGCCACAACTGGACAAGCTTTCCTGTTTATCCAGCAACTTGTAATCTTCCACTTACTTCACACACACATACTGTATACTGTAGTCTTTCATTGATTTTATATCCATTATTCATGTACACTGTGCAGTAGAGTCTCACCATCTTAACTTTCCATCATGTCCATTTACAGTCTGTACAGAAGTTTGCTTGTGTTTCATCCCCATTCACATAGCTGGGTTGAACTATGCCTCAAAGTGAACTCCTTCACACTTGCAAGCTCACATCTTTACCTTTCAATAATTCTTTAAATCTCCAGCATAGCTCTATCTGGATACGTGATTCATGATTTTTGGCAACATATGTAACAGACACAGTTATTATTAACTGGTTTGAAGACAGGGAATATTTTTTCAGAAGGTAGAATGAAAAAAGATGATTTTAAAAGGAAGTTGAAAATGATTGTCTCTCATCATCATGTTTGCTAATATAATGATAGATACTTTATGCAGCTGTGTGTAATGAACATGGTAATGATTCATATTTAATATTATGTGGATTAACAATGATCCATGCTCATGATTGTGTAGATCATTGATGATTCTTCAAATTAATGTTATGCTAGTCTTTATCTCTGGTGCTTTACTCTCGTGGGGAGCTTCCATCTGAAAGGATTTCTTGCCAGAAGAGCCTCAAAGTAACTCAATCAGTATATTTCTTTTGCCCTCTTTACTCCTTCCATTGTTCTCTCCTTGAAGCACTGCCCTAATTCTCCTTTTCATAATGTAGGTTTTCTTCCTTTTCCCTTCATACTTGGTACCATTATTCCTTCTTTACGCCCTATTCTCAAGCATGTTCCTCACGTGTGCCTACTACTTCAGAATGCGTCTCACAGTCCACTACTTTCACACTTTCGGCCATTCTGAACCTCTAATACTTTTCTTGTCATGCCAAACATTCTGTTAACACTAGATGTAGCCCTCAGGTAATTTTATTCTGCTGCTTGTCCCTGTCTCTACCAGTTGGCCAGTTAAGAATGACTAAACCGTATCTTACACTCTTTCCCCAAGTGACATTTCCCATATTTACCGTCACCCTCTTGTAGTGTATTATCCTCCACTTGGTTGTACTTGAACCCCTTGTATATAGTACAGTAACAGTATCATTCTCAAATATTAGACATTTTTTTGACTTCCTCCTCCAATAATTTATTCATTACATATTTATATATTTTTGTTTCCTTTACCTCCATAAATCCTCTTTACCTCCCACAGTGCTTCCTAGTCCATCATATCATATACTGTACCTTCTCCAAAAGTATATATACAGTAAATGTTACATAGTTCTAATTTTTTCTTGTGTACTGTACTACTGTATTTCTTTGCGAGATGTTTTGCTGTAAATATTTTATGTAAACATCTTTCTTCTCTGATTCCTTCTTGTTCCTCAGATTGAGTGTGTTATCTAGTATGCATAATTGGTATTTGTTATTTATTTCTTGCCAGATTAAATTATTTAATGATCACCCTACCTTATGGATCTCATAGAATTTTAGTCCCTGGGTCTTACCATGGTTTAAATGTATTTGATGTTACTGGTGTATTTTTTCCAGAGCTTAGCATTACTACTTCATCATGTACAGTATCAAGTTTTTTTCTATGTCTGAGTATGTAAGAGCATAAGACAAACAGTTTTGTCCATAGCAATAATACAAACAGGAACTGAAGCATATTTCAAGACATTACAACCACATCTTGATGGAATATTTATATATCGCATAATAAATTTATGAGCTAGATGTGAAGTTGAAGCTAATTTATAGCCTTTACTAAGTATGGAGATGGAAGTGAAATTAACTTTGAGTAAAATAAAAAGAAAGAGATAAGAATGTAGGTAAGCAGGTAAAGTGGACGACGAGAGTGAAGAGCATAGGTGTTACAGTAGGTAGTACAGTAGTGATGTATAAACAGATGTCATTAATTACAGTGTGAAGGAGACTAAATTCCAAATGACATTAAAGATGACAGATTAATCGTTTTTGCTTGTGTATATTTGATAAGATGTATAATATGGAATAATATTCTTAGGTACTGTCTGTACAAAGACGTGTGATACTTTCCTTTTCTCTGGTATACTAGTTTGATGAACAAGAGAGCTAAAGAACACTAATATTGCTCCCTTGTATGTGGTCTTCATATCAAAATCCATAGGGGCTATGTAGCGGCACATTTATCCAGGATTTGCACAGTATTTTTAAACTTTATCTTCCTCACAGTAAATATAATTTCAGTGAACTTTAGAGGGAGGAATCCCTTAAGGTCTGTTGTAGAGTTGTCGGTTCTTATGCAAGTAATCATTCAGTATAGTTACCATGGAGGGCATCTTGAAAAGGTCCTAATTGCTGCATCTACACTGTTGGCCTGATTCAGTAATTGTGAAATGTTACTGGAAGGTTCTGAAGGTTAACATAAAGCACAATTCATATACATTAATGTTGTCCTCCCAGTACAGGACCAGTAGAGCATCAGTCCTAACCTGAAACACTTGATTCTTTAAAGGATGTAGACTAATAATTTGCATTAAAAGTGACACCCTGAGTCCACACACCCAGATACCTATCTTCCTTCCTTGAGCTAGGAGTGGAATTATTAGGGGAGATTATATTCTGAGCTTGTTATTGGGGGGGGGGGGATGACACATACTCTTCATCTTCATACATGCTGTAAATATATTGAATCACTCATATTGATTTGAAGAAATTCATATCTTTATGTTAGCTATTTTTAGTTTGAGTAATTCTCAGAGATTATTAGTTAATATAATGAGGGTGTTGTGATATTTAATAATTAATGAACAAAATTATAATGCAAGTCTAGCAGTAATTTCTTGTGTGTACAGCAATTATGTATGACAGAATCATAACCCACAGCAGTTGTTGATGAAAGAGTATTATGCTGTTCTAGTAACTCTTTCGTTTTTATTAATAACATGCTGCATGATACACACAAGTGTTATGAATGCTGAAAACTGTGTACGTGTGTCCAAGTGAACATTTTTGTTATCTGGGTCTTGCAACTTGTCAGTATAAGCATTTTTGTGTAGAAATTTACAGTGTTGATTGTTAATGCTTTATTTTGGATCTGTTGCTTGTTTTTGTTTGTTGTATGAGGCAGCTTGAGTAGCCAAACTTTTTGTTTACTTGATCAGTGCCATTTTGAAAGTATCGATTACTCATTGCATATTTAGGTATATAATGTCAGTGTTACATTGCATGAAGAATGGCTCTTCTATATTTACTCACTAACTTAGAGAATTCTCATTGAAATGAATAATCCAAGTACATGTACTGTACATTGCATTACATCAAAGTTATCTACTTATTAATTTTATTTTAAAACACTTATGTCTGGCTAAATTTGGTACATAGTGTTGAGTTAACTTAGTTTGGACATTAAATTTCTTATTTTCTCAATGCTAGTTTATTTATACTACTTAAATGTTAAAAAGTTTAGTACTGTACATTTTAAGTTTTATCACATTTTTTTTATTAATTAATTTTGTAAAATAATTTTCTTAAGGTGGGTTCAGTTGCTAGTACTGTATTTATAGTAAACTGGAAATTAAAGGTGTTATCTGCATGTAAAAAAATTTAGATTTGAAGAAAAGGATCAAGACTGTTTAAACAATGTAATTAAAAGCAGGTTAGAGGAACATGCACTTCAGGAGTATCTTGGGAGATTTTAAATGCATTAAGTAAGGTCACTGCTCATTTAAAGTATACTGTAGTTACATGATACTGTACATACTGTATTCTATGAAGTATGAATCTCAGCAAGGCTTTGTCAATTTTTGGGGCTCTACTTTTATCCTAAGATCTTTACAGCTTGTACACAGATGTAATATTGAAGGTTATCTGTACTGTCCCCCTTCTTACACTTGAGTGGCATTGATCAGATAAGAAGAGTTAGTTTAGAACCACAGCCTGACAGGGAGACTAGGTCAGAGCACACCAAATATGTTTGGCCATGGGTCTCCTGGTTTAGATGTCCCAAGTGTTTCCAATACTTAATGGTATTAACATGGTACAGTAATTGTAAGTAATTGTCAGCTTCATTGATCTTTGTCTAGCATGACTAAAGTGCAGTTCATAACCACAAGAAAATACTTGGCAGGTTTTCAGGAAAGTTTTGTCTCACTGCATGTATAGAGGGAATTCTGATACAGTACCGACGTTAGTGATTGCACTGTCTACTGACAAAATTTTCGTTTGTAATTCCCTTTAAAATGGGTGGCATGCTTAAAAGTGAGAGTTTTGTGGTTCCAAGAAGAAAAAGAGACACCCATTGTAGATTTTCTATGTATTATCTTTGCATTTTCGACTTACGACCTGGATTTGGGTCCCTAACCCTGTCATAAGTCGAGCTGCTGTATTTGAAAATGGAATGTACAGTACAGTATTGTATTGATATATCCCATGCAAGTAAAACCCCATTCTTTTTCACTTTGCAAAGAATGTTTAAACTTCAAGTTCATTTCACATGCAGGTTTTGCATTAGATAAATCTATTTGTATATGCTGCATGCAGGTAGTTGTTGCTGGCAGCATAAAAAACTGACATTTGTGTAGAGTATAACTACGCAATTTATTAAAAACAATAATTGTACAGAATTGTAATGTCTTCTGATCCAAAATTGCTCTGGCATGCACATTAATTATTATGACTAAGCATTTGGTTACATATTATGTATATGATTCTGTATTACTGTACTGCAATATAAATACAGTATGTATACTGTTTATCTGTGTGTGTGTATTAATTCCCAGTCAGTAACATGAGTTTGTGAATCACTGGGAATCTGAGGATTGGTTGCAATCTTTGTAATACCTGTACAATGCAAATTAAGGGCAGGGGAAACAGGATAACTGCTTAGGGCTCCAAGATTTTAAAAATAAAAATGAATTAGATAAAGATATACGGTAGTAAAACAAGTACAGGTAACTTTTTTTTTTTTTTTTTTTTACCTGCTGGTTAAAACTTTATCAAATCTGAAGGAATTGCATGATGACCTTTTGGGAATGTTGTTTTATTGGCAACATTACTACAGGAGCTCCCAGATTGTATTGAGCAAGCAGGTAATGCAGGCAGCTATGTCTCAGTTTCTCCAGACAACCTTATGTTTAATAGAAATGTGTTGTGAATATTTCAGATTTTGCCAGAGCAATTTTTCTGGATTTTTTTGTAAATGGTATAGTGTCAGCTATTGAATCCATTCTTTTGTTACTACATACAGTACATGGTGTTAAAGAGTCAGGTGATGCAAGAATGCTATTGTATTGAAACTTGATTAGTTTATAATTTTTGAGAGAAGAATACCCATAATTTTATGTCCAGTCATGCCAGGCACACCTAATGAAGTTTTCACCCCGGAAAAACACCAGTGCCCTTAAAAGTTAGGAGTGTAAATATTATAGAAGCTCTAATATATATATACAGTAAATGGAATTGTGCTTAAAAACACTTGACAATAAAATGAGCTGCATCCATGTGTTATTGTTATCTTCACTAAGCTATGTACTGTAAAATGCAGCTTTTTATGTTCTAATTGTGCTCATTATTGTGAATATCCTCTGTTGAATAATACAGTAATTTACTTATTTTTGTAAACAGCATTTCATACAATTTAATAAGGGAGTATTTGTGATATGAACTTTTGATAATATTTTATGGATTGTTAACACTCCTGAATAATGCCTACATGCTGTGGTCATTTGTGTAAGATTTATTTAGATTTTGACCAGCAGGACTGATAGTTTGATAGTTTTTGTACTACTTAATGGTTTTGATGTAGAGTAGATAATATGGTAATTGTAGGTCATGTTTATCCAGTAATGAGAAATTATAGCTAATTACAAGAGTTTGTAAGTGATGTCACGTGGCACATGTGTTTGGAATAATGTTTTTTAAAAGTTATATAAAGGATAATGTAACGTCAAGTGTACAGTATACAGGACTCTGCACTCTAGAAAGTTTTGATGATTGTCATTTTCAGAAAAGTAACAAAGATGAGATCTAGTGAATTTTTGCTGATATCACCTTATACCATACCCTAGGTGTTGAAGCTACAAGTAATGCTTTCATATATTCTTTCCATAATTGTATATCCCTGTTCATATAATTGTGAGGCAAGTACTGTAGTCATATCATAAGATAGATATGTGTACTACAGTTTTAGTGACAACATTAGTTTCATGGCTTGACAGTACAGTACCAATGAAATTATTGGAAATTTTATGTTGTTCAATTGAAAAGTAAGATATTGAACTTTACTAACGTTTTTTATGGTTCATTTGTCCAGTTGCTACTTAACCATATTGAAATTATTGTAGGTAGTGTAATGCTTTTCACAACATAAATTATCCATAAAGAAAAATTAAATTATTAACATACAGGTATCTTAAGGCAGTATTTATGTACTACTCTGGGATAAAAACATTCTCTTTACTGACTTTGATTACAAATTATGAATTTAAGTTCATTTAGGTTCTGAAGCGTGACAATGTCTCATAGTGGTAATATCAGTTGGGCTAACAGTACTTATCAGACAAAATTTGTATAAACTATAAAGCAAAGAAAATCATTTAAGTATGGTATCTTACTCACCAAATACCATACAACACACTGTACAGTACAGGAGTTGAAGGGTTTAAAGTCATAATTTGTATTCCTTCTAGAGATCACTATAGATCTTCTGTAAATGTGGACCAAAGTGAGATGTTGCCATCACTCCACTATCCTGATACAGTACAGTATTCTGTGATGATTAAGTTCCATTTGATACAATTAAATGTTTCCTGGTATAGTCCCTTTTTTTTACCCTTCATTGTATTGAAGGGTATAAAATATTTTTCACATACGTATTTTCGAGACCCGACGTTGGTGATCGCGCTGTGCACTGACAAAATTTTTGCTTGTAATTCCCTTTAAAATGGCTGGCAAGCGTAAAAGTGAGAGTTTTCGTGGTGCCGAGAAGAAAAAGAGACACCCATTTTAGAATTTCAATGTACTATTTTCGCCTTTTCGACTTACGACTAATTCGACTTATGACCTGGTCGTCAGGACGGAACCCCGTCGTAAGTTGAGGAGAGACTGTAATATACTGTACAGTTTTACACTCCTAAGTTCTAACTGTTACCAGTTACATACTTTTTACACTTACCCTCACCCCTCCCCCACGCCCACACCCCTCATCCATACCGGCGGTACACAGGATGTACCGAACATTGTCCGTTGAAGAAGCTACAATAACAGAACCTGTCAGAGTTAACTTCTTTGGAGTAAGAGTTGTGAACCCAAAGATTGTTGTTAGGACACAACCAACTCAAGTACAAGTTCGCAACATTCAAGAGTCCATATTATGCCCAATACTTGCCAACAGTGCATATCAGAAAACTGACAAAGAGGATAAGTAGAACAGTAAGAAGATATAAACTATATTTCTTTCAGCACAAATCAGTGATTTAAACAATCTTGATATCAATTTTATATTAAAGTGGAAATTAAAGGCATGTTCGATAATTTGTTCACTTTATTCATCTAGAGAGTATATACAATCATTTGACAGATGCCTAATAGGCTAGCCGATCTTATGAATTAATATCACTTAAATACGCGCAAGTGTGCACGAAGGGAGTTAGATGAATACTGACCTAAAATATTTACAGTGGGTGTTTGTTGTGGTGGTGATCCTAGGTGAAGGTGTGTGTGTGTAGTTACCTGATTGTGTTGACCAGGTGTTTCACGATAGACTTACTGTATTACGTCTTACATAAATATTTACTATTGTATGTACTGTACTTGTGTTTGTCTACTAATGTAAATTGAGTAGGTGTATTGCAACACTAATATATTTTTTAACAATATACACCACAATGTTTATTAAATATGTGTATCGTAATACTAATGTTTAGCGAAAAAGTATACCAGAAATTAATACTGTTAATCGAAGTTAATGCACATGTGTCTTGGACAAATTTTGTAAGATACATATACATGCTGAACAAATGTTTAAGATACATACATATACTTCAAGACCATCTGCCTCTCCAAATTAATGTTACAATGACCATGGATCTTCCCAAAACCAGAATATATTTAAACATGTCATTAATATCACAGAGCACGAGTGTGTGGCCTATATGTGCAGCTGAAGCAACCATTTTAGGAACTTAAGCTGCAAAGTATTTACATTTAGCTAAGATAAAATGAGAGGTTATTTACAGATAGACAGATAAATATACTTATAACAATTCCTAAATATTAGGGTTACCATAGTATTATACTGTGAATAGTACCATAATGGGAATACTTACTACTATACCAACTATTATAATTATGTAATATTATGCAGCTTACTATTATCAAGGTATATTATTAGGATTATCATAGACTCACACTAACCAGAGCAAAGTTTATATGGTATTTGAAATAAACTAATCGTGCACCACTTGATGTGATCTGCTATAAGAAACATTTGACGAGGTTGTACAGTACTCACACGTTATTACCAGCATTATACACCTGAAAATGGGTTTCAACAAATTGGATATTAACCCCTTCGTGCATAAGATGGCAGCGAGGCAATTTACAGCTGGGTGGAATGGAGGTAACCTGGGCATGAACCAACTGCCCTTAGGACAGAAAGTGAGCTGTTTCCACACACCCACAGCACTTCCAATATACGATAGCATTCATTCATTTGCATATTTACTTAGTTGTAATGAGTAAATGTTGGACTGATGCTTCTGTTTACTTATCATGGATCAAATGCTACATCTAGTATTTGGACAAAATCCCCTCTAGATATACCCAGCCTACCTCACCCAGCTTGTGACCAGGGTACGGCGACCATGTTATCACACTGGGGTGGAAGTACATTATCCCCGGGTTGTAATCCGTACAGAGGAGACAATGCGTAGTTGATACCCAGTGTTATAACCTTAATCCTGACCTTGCAGCTTCTCGTAAAACCACCCAACTGGTTCACCGATATCCAGATCACGGAGAGAATTATAATCGTACATGTCCTGTTTTAATCTTTGACCTATTTGCGTAATGGCAACCCCACCTAGAGACCTTTGATGTTATGTGAGACTTAAGTGTGGAGGACAGTGCGAATGGGGCGATGACTTACCTAGGCAGTGAAAAGCTATTTCAGACATAACAAATTAAAAGCATAATAACAATAATATTAATAATTATAAGTTGTGGATGCTAATGCTAGAATAATATTTAAATAACGACAAAAAATAAGCATTACAAATAATACTAATGGTAAAAAAAATTACTACTACGACTACAACATCTACTACTACTAATACTACTATTACTATCGCTGAGAATGAAAATAAATATAATTATATTAATGACAACAATAAAGAAAAATTTACCCTGTAGACCCAGCACAATGCAATACTATAATAGCATCCTACCTAGGCAAGTCACCCAGCAAAATCAATACCCTTTAGCGAATTCCTTTCCCCTGAAACCAATTGGGACAACCCACCTAGAAGAACCACCCTTTAGTAAAAAATAATAACCTTTCAAAAGATAAATCTAGCAAGGTAAAGGAAAACCTGTGTGAGTTAACGACAAGACAGAAACCTAACCCAGGAAAGCTTTATAATAACACTGGAATGGGACAGCCTAGCCTAGCGTCCTATATTACATCGACTCTTGGCTATGTTTTGTCAGTTTCAGCATCAGCTGACGATCACACCTCTCCTTGGCTGCTGTGTTTATTTTCAGTCCACCATAACGTTTTTTCTTCTATTTAGTGCATTATGTTTAGTTGTAAATTTCACCATATGTACAAAAAATCTTAAATTTCCTCATTTCTTACTTTCTATTAATTCTGACTTCACTCTCATGCACAAATCGTAGAACAGGCACACAATGGCGCGTAAGCTCTTTCTGATAACATAATTCATCCTTGAATTCAGAACCTCTCGACGCCCCTCGGCGTCGTCGTCAACATCTTTCATCTTTAACTTCTAAGGCTTTTCAGGACACAAGCCCCTTTTGTTTTTCAAATGTACTGTATACCACCTTGTTGCTAGCACCACCTCCAGACCTCCTCGGTTGGTTGGTTGACGAGGGAGGCAGTGGTTGACGGTAGTTGGAGTGGAAGTATGGATGAGGCTGATCTTGTGGGTGGCAGACTGGCTGGCGGTGGTGAAGTGTGTGAAGTTGGTTGGATATGCCAGGGTAGAGGACGGTATTCGTCGGGTAGGTATACAGTAGTAGGAGGTCGATGGTTATTACTAGGGACACACCAGTTTATCCCAGGTATTAAGACCACATGTGTGTTGCCGGAACTGATCGTTGTAGTGAACCCATTTATTACAAACTGAAAACAAACAACGTTTCTGATTATCGCTAACGAATGAGGAAATACAGTATGCATTAAACTTGTATTTACAAATTATTCACTCGGGTACTGTCCCTGTAAAAATATATTATTATTATTATTATTATTATTATTATTATTATTATTATTACACCACAGTAACAAGAAAAAAAATCACATCACAAACGTGGCAAAACACCACCACTCCAGGAACACCAGAAAAAAAAAACAGATCACAAACACCAGACCACTATAAAAATACCAGATCACCCCACAAACACCAGACCACTCCACATCACAGGGGAAATACTCACTCCACTTAGAGCCATGGAGGACAGGACAGCCGCCGTGTCTGGTGTTCTCGTCGCCAACACCTGAGCGGTAGAGGTTCCACCAGAAGGCTGCAGAACCTCGCTTAGGCCAGATAGTGACTCCAGCCCGAGGGAATACCGTAGCTCCTCCCGCCTCCACATCAGACAACTGGAAAGAGTCAGTTATATCAAATAACCGGAGAAACGTTCTTAGTATATATATCACGGTGACTGGATGCGTAACTGGAAGGATGAACTTATGACTGGAAAGATTTTGTTATCTGATGATTGGAAGGAAAAATATTAACTGGAAGGCGCTTATATAGGTAGTAGGCAGCTACCAAACAGGGAGGTACTACCGCCTGGGAAGAAATTGGAAGCATAAGGTATTGTCTAATGGTAGACTCTGCTGCCATATGGCATCACAAAATTTGTGACCAAGTCCTAGGTTGCTGATCTGACTTTCTGCCTCATTTACACACAATTGCAGGGTCTCAATTGTTTCTCTTACTATTGACAACACAACATACATACAGTATATAATTTCTCACTATTTTTTTTTTCATTTTGTATTTCTTTATGGTTCTTTATTAATATTATTATTATTATTAGTGCTATTATTATTAGCATTATTATTTTATTATTTATTTTTAAATTTTGTATTATTTATTATAAATTTTATTTATTATTATTATTATTATTATAATTATTATTATTATAATTATTATAATTATTATTATTATTATTATTATTAATATAATAATAATAATAATAATAATAATAATAATAATAATAATAATAATAATAATATTTTCGCCCCCCCAGGCCCTGATGTGGGTCAGTGACCTGTGCCCGGGTGGGCTGATCCCCGTAAACAAAAACATGGTCTGTTGGTGGTACAGCAATAATACACTTGCCTCACCAATGCCTCCCAGGTTCAATCCATTGGGGGCAGTGTGACCCTACCGAAAAGAAATGGAACACTCACATAGACCATGAAGGTAGCGAAGCGGTCACCTATGAAGTGTTCCCAGGGGGAATAGGTGGCGGGGTCCGGGTGGATCATGAGGTAGTCAGTGTGAGTCACATACAGCCCACCGATGCCGTAGTTGGCCACCTGAATACACATGAAATACGTCGTTAGGATCCGTGGTTGGTCATCTGAGTCACTATTTGTATAAGGAATCTTCCCTTTGTGTAGAATAAATAGATAAAGAACATAAATAGATCAGACATATTATAAACAATACACATTTCTACAGTAATGGTTAATATTCCTCCTGTTTAATTTTCTCAAAATTTTACTCACTAAAAAATATCGTTGTACAAAATGGTACCAGTAATATTTTTTTGTATAATTTATTTTATGAATTTTAGAAGAAAATTTCATAAGTGGCAACAGATTAATACACAGTTCAGTAGTATCTGTAAGGGGAGAGGGCGGAGTTAGTGTAATGGTGAGGACTTCAGTGTGGCTACCTGGTAGTCCTCGCCTGATGAAGGTTGTGTTGCGTGGAGCCCTGTAGCCACCTCCACCTTCTTGGTCAGGTTTGCCAGCAGATCGGCCCTCTCCTGGTTCTCTCTCAACCAAGCACTGCAACATGCAACACACGTAAATATTCACAGTCTATCACCCAAGCAAGTGCAACACAGGAATGAATATTTCCTAGTTTAATCTTTACAAAATTCGTACAAGGAATTCCTAATCAACTTTAACTCTAGTTCTCGCCTCTCGTGATTTACATTAAAGTGAGTGACATAAGCAAATTTTCTCTATTAAGTTCAATGATCACCTCCAGTAGCTCCCGATACTCACTTCTTGCTGGTCCTGACCATGCTGGAGATGAACCCTCCGTCAGGACCTCGATGCCGCGACGTAGCCAGCTGCGAGGCATAACATAAATCATCAGCTAATGTAGATCATCATACAGGTCACAACACGCACCGGGTGAACACAAGGTAGTGATCACCTGATAAACGTAAACATAGAGGGTAGAAAATGATTAAAGTAAACTAATGACATGGGTAACAAGATGATACAGGCCAAATTAAAAACACTCAACAGGTAGACGCACGGCTGAGTTATTGGAACATGACGTCGCTTACAACCCTCAGTATGTAAATAGTGATACTGGTGCATACTTATTCGGGTTTAAAGCAGTGAAAACCAGTGTATTTTGGTGCAAATCTGGATATTTCTTATGATCAGGTGGTTTATTAACTAGTAAAAACTAAGTTAGTGATGGGGCGAGCCGTGTTTAGGTGTACTCCAGAGAGACGCTGTTAAAAACTATCCCTCGTATGGGTGGAGTGTTTCGTAGAGCACTTAATTAATGTGATGTAAGTCTACCAGTTACCAGCAGCTGAAGGATTTCTGATGGTGAAACACACAATGCTGAAATGAATTTTCTCAACAATAAAGGTTAGTACACGTATGATTTGTTACTGTATTAGATAACTCTGTAATGTCTCAGAACAGCACTACCACCAGAAAGAGTTGTTCGATTTCGTTCATTTTTTCCACAGATATTCTTATCGTTATAGAAGTATTTTAAAAGGCGACATTTACTAGAACCTAATAGAACTTGAACTAACCAATCAAATAAACATACCAAACCTTACCTAACTTCCCAGCCGGGGGCGACCCCCCCCCCCTCTCCGCCATATTAATCAGAAGGCACTTGTTTTAATATCTGGTACCAATGAAAGCAACTTTGTTGAAGCGTCATGGTGTAATTTCACGTTTTTTTTTTTTTTTTTTTGGATGAGTGTACGTCAGACCCAGTGGGTCGGTTGCAAACAAACAGACGACTCGCGGTGATTCGGTAGATTTTTAGGAATATTTACGGTAAATAATTAATTTCTTCACGTACGAGGAATTAGACAAGGATGAGTGCTCTCTCCAACTCTATACAATGTATATTCAGATTTTTTGGTGAGTGAAGTTGTCAGTACTAGTGAAGGATTTTAAATATCATTGAAGTGAAATTTTTGCTTGCATGCAATGACTTCCGACTTCATCCGCTGTGCCACCCTTTCAGAAGACGCGCTCTACTCGAGTTCAAGTATCAGGTGTGCACTATAGGTTGAGTTTATTTACTTTTTTACAGACAAACGGAAGGCACAGGAAAGCAGAACAGCTGATACAAGTACACAATTAACACAGATAAACAGATGAACCAGGTAAACAGATGTCAATCGACCAGGAGGTGGGTGAGGGTCGTCTACCTTGGGTTTGGCTTGGTCGATGATGGCGTCGGTCTGGCGCTGGGTAAGGAAGTCATGGAAGACCACGATGTATGGGTCCAGTGACATCTCCTCCAGCAGCAGAGGCATTAGCTTGAAGTACCCGTGGGCGTGGGTGTGGGCGGGAATGTGGGCAGGGGGGCTTGTTACAATTCGACAGACTAGTGAAGACTCTATTTCCGCCGGCTGTAAAGAACCACATAAAAGATATAAACACGATGGGTTAATTCGTTAATGTTTTAGGGTTGAGTAATTATGTGGGCTGCTTGTTGTTTGGATCACATGATTAGCTAATCTTCATTTTCACCTGATGCTTTAACATCCCAACGTTACCTAGGGAGATACGATTAGGCTAGCTTTGGTTAGTGTTAGGTTAGATTAGACTATTGTAGGTTAGGGTTAGGTTAAGTTAGATTTGTTACGTTAGGTTATATGCTAGGTTTAGCGTTACCGTGGTTAATCTTCATGAGATCTATTGTTTGTAGTTCGTATCCATAAATACAAACAAAATAAGACTCGGATATGGAGGCGTGTCTTACCCTGAGACTCTCGCCCCGACACAGTCTGGTGTAGTGGTCGTGCTCCTCCTCCTCACTCTGCTGCTGGTACAACTTGGGCAAGAACTTGTGTGTGGAGGCCCCCCGGTACTTGTGCTTGCTGGCCAAACTTTGGTCTACCGGCACCGCCTTTGTCTGCCAGTCTGTGCCTCGAGGACCTCGCTTCTCCAGCACGTCGTCATGCTAGTGGTCACAACCAAGTTATAATAATATTGTCTATATTGAAATTGTACTGTGAATCTATTTTTTAGTATTTATGATGATTTTTTTAATACATTCAGTTACTAATACAACTTATATAATAAACAACACACACATATATAAACAAATGGTCCCCACTGCTTACCACTACCATAGTTGCCTTCAAGAAAGGTTCAATTTCTTGCTTGAGCACGGTCGAATCTTCCTCGTGGCCAGCCTTGTCCAGTGCTGCCTCAAACCACTCAATGGCCTTGTCGTAGTAGCCCTTGTTGAAGGCGTGTTTGCCCAGGAACAAGCAGTCACGGGCGCTCAGGGGCTTACTGCTGTGGAACTCTGTTGAGGAGATGTCCATTATGTCTATTGTGTGTGTGTGTGTGTGTGTAGCGGTAGCACATGCTTTCAGAGAGCAGCTCGAACAGGGGCTGATAAACAACCCGACAACAAACAACCCAAATCCCAGTGCCGAATGAGGTATTCTCGACACTGTCATGACAATAACCTGCAGAGACCCTCGGCCAGATCGAAAGAATACACCAGGACTGGTATGATGAAAATGACCCGAAAATCAATGTACTTGTCAATGATCAATGTGCTGCTTTTAACTGACTGGCAGAACAACCCTCAGTCTCGGACCAAAGCTGATACTTTCTGCAAGAAGAAAGCGGGGACCTAGCGCGAACTTTGCAAACTAAAGAACGGCTGGTCTAAAAATAAAGCATGTGAAACTCAAAAACTTGCACATCAACACAAGATGCAGGAATTTATCATTTCAATTAAAACATTTTATGGGCCATTCACTCATGGCGCAGCTACCAAACAGGGAGGTACTACCGCCTGGGAAGATTTTGGAAACATAATGTGTTGTCTAATGGTAGACCCTGCTGCCATATGGCATCACGAAAATTGTGACCAAATCCCAGGTTGCTGATCTGTCTTTCTGCCTCAATTACACACAATTGCAGGGTCTCAATTGTTTCTCATACTATTGACAACACAACATAAATATATTGTTTCTCACTATTTTTTTGCTTTACAGTTCTTTATTATTATTATTATTACAGTGTTGTTATTATTATTATTATTATTATTATTATTATTATTATTATTATTATTATTACATTTTCGCCCCCCAGGCCCCGATGTGGGTCAGTGACCTGTGCCCGGGTGGGCTAATCCCCTTAAAAAAAAAAAAAAAAAGCCTAATTAAAGACGATGAAGGCCTCCTTCAGGGCTGGAAAGAGCACTACCATTCGCTGCTCAACCGAAACACCGATGTGGATGTCCTGACTACCCTGCAGGTCCCTCAGCATCCAGAGCTGACCCATCTCAGCTATCCTCCATCCCTGGATGAGGTAGCTACTACCATCAAACAGATGAAAAATAACAAAGCCTCAGGGCCTGATGGAATCCCAGCCGAGGTGTATAAAACAAGAGGACCTCTGCTTACCAGCCGTCTCCACTCTCTCCTGGAGATTATATGGGAAAAGAAGGAAATTCCCCAAGCTCTTAAAGATGCTTCCATCGTCAATATTTATAAGAACAAGGGAGACCGGTCAGACTGTGGCAACTACTGCAGGATCTCGCTGCTGTCCGTAGTTGGCAAGATTGTCGCCTGAGTCCTCCTAAACAGACTACTTCCTGACATGGTTGTTGCTGCCCGCCAGATACAGGAAAAGTGCAGAGAACAGTGTCGTGACCTGTACATGGCCTTCATCGACCTAACCAAGGCTTTTGACTTGGTCAACAGAGCAGAGAAGCCCTCTGGCAGGCCCTCAGCCGTTTTGACTGCCCACCAAAATTCATCGCCATTGTGGGGCAACTCCACGATGGCATGAACAGCAGTGTCCTTTACAATGGCACCCAGTCTTCGCTCTTCCGCATCCAGACTGGGGTAAAACAAGGATGTTTACTGGCACCAACTCTCTTTTCCATTTTCTTGGCTGCCTTCCTTACTCATGCCAGTGCCAATTTAGCCGGCAGAATGGACATCCAGTACCACATGAAGGGTCTATTTAACATAAGATGACTACAGGCAGGAACAAAGGTGTCGGTAGCTTCCATTACTGAACTTCAGTATGCAGACGACCTCACCTATGTCGCTCACACTGAACGCGACCTACAGGCTACAGGACATTCTGAACACCTACGTAGATACGTATGCACAACTTCGGCCTTGAGGTGAATGTACTAATACTCAGATTCTCTTTCAACCTGCCCCTGGTTCAGACACACCTCCAACATCCATCCAGCTTAATGGTGCTACCCACTCTAATGTTACCCACTTTCAGTATCTCGGCTCCCACCTGTCCATTACCGCAGACATCGATGAAGAGATTCAACACCAGATCAGATATGCATCTCAAGCCTTTGGCAGAATCCGTACCCGTGTCTTTAGCTGTAGGGAGCTGAAATTATCTACAAAGCTGCACGTATATCGATCAGTGGTCCTCCCTACCCTGCTATATGGCAGCGATACATGGGCCACATACAGAAGGCACCTCAAGACCCTTGAAAACTTTCACCAACGTAGTCTATGTTCCATCCTCCGAGTTCGCTGGGAAGACAAGAGAACAAATGCCAGTATTCTCGCTAACACCAACTGTAGAAGCATCGAGGCTACCATCATCCATGAACAACCACGTTGGACTGGCCAGGTTACCCGCATGGACGACAGTAGACTGCCAAAGCAGCTACTTTAGTCACCTAACAAATAGTAAACGTATATAAAGCTGGCGGGCAACTGAAAAGGTATAAGGATAGTCTTAAGATAAACCTGAAAAAGTGCCAAATCGACCCCTCACCTGGGAGACGATCACTCCACACCGTAACGTTTGGAGCACCACACAAGAAGTTGTCAAAACTTTCGAATTAGCGCGACTGCAAACCGAGGCAGACAAGACGCTGCCGCCGACCCTCCCGCACTAGAGGTAGCCCTCCACATGTGCAACGTCTGTGAACGACTGCCGGTCCCGTTTCTGCCTCTTTATTCACCTTAAAACTCACAAACGAAGGTGACATCCTCAATAACTCATATCATTGTCTCATAGCTGGATGATCGTCATACAGGATTCCGAGTGACAGCAAAATAGTAAATAGTAGAAGTAATAGTAGTGTTTGTGTGTGTGTGTGTGTGTGTGTGTGTGCGAATCTTTGAGAAGCTGGACGCACATCATGAGAGGAATTGTCGAATCACCTGATAATTACAAATCATCGCCTTATTTTAAATGGTGATTAAACACCCTAACGCTATCTGGGGTGTTAGGTTAGGATATCCAGTGATGATGTTTTGAATGTATATGTGAAATTATACAGTGATGTTGTTTTGAAAGTATAAGTGAAGTGACAATGTAGGATGTGCAGCGATGCTCTTTTGAAAGTATTAGTGAAATGACTTTGTAGGATAATGCAGTGTTATATTGTGAAAGTAAGAGAGAGAATGGTTAGCTTAGATAAATTTTCACAGCTGGTTAATATTTTGACGACCTATAAATAGTAATTTATTTTTAAAGTTTGTGGTGGCGATGGATAGAAAAGCAGTAAATGTGTGAGGGGGACTTTACCATGGTGTGTGAAGCAGGGTGGGAATTACCATGATAGGTGGGGCGAGAGGGGCACGAGACAGGCTTACCATGATATGTGAGAGTGAGGGAATCATCATAACGTGTGAGGGAGGGAAAAATTACCATGATAGGTAGGTAGGGAAAAGAGAGATAGATTTACCATGATATATGAGAGGGAGAGAAAGGGAAAATTACCATGGTAGGTGGGTGGAGAGGAAGGGAGCAAGGACACCACAGACTTACCGTCGTGTGTGAGGCCAACCCCAGTGAAGGTGCCGGAGGGGAGGGAGGTCATGTTGAGGTTATAGGTGTCCTGGAGTCTCACCAACGCCACTGCCGCCCCGTGTAAGTCCTCCATCACCGGGAAAGTCGACCTCTCCCGGAACACCACCACGCGTCCCACCAGCTCTGAAGTACGGGGAAAGAGTTAAGGGAAAACGCTGACACGGACTTAATAGACAGGTAGATACATGAAATTGATAGTTAAATTAATAGATATGTAGAGAAGTGGATAGATAATGAAATAGATAAGACAAATAGAGAGAGAGATAGGGGGCGCTACTTACCCTGTGTAGCGTTAGCGTGGCGGTTCATGGCATCTTCCACACTCCCCCACTCCACGGTGAGGCGCTTTAGTAGGAGGAAGGCGTCGACTGGGTGAGCCACGATCACCTTGGACTGGGAGGTGGCTGATGCACTGGCTGCCATCTCTGACCCCCCTGCTTCGCTTCCTCCAGGATTAAGACGACGATATTCAGATACATACCTGGGGGTAGATATTGAGGAGGGAGGTATTATATTAAGGGAATAGTGATAGGTTATGTAATGGGAGATTCATATGTAAAAGGTAATGCCGCCAGCTGATTAATTGTCCATAGGTATTTGAAGTTAGGGATACACAGGCCTGATATCCTTGTTAATATGTAGTATATGTTAAGGTAATATATGTTTTTATGTGTCGATTATGTGTCTCGGTACACATCCCCAATGAGGGTTTGGATCAGCTGAATATTAGACACCTACCAACTTATTTCATCTGATAATTTAAACACCCTATCGCTTCCCGTGGGGTAGGTAGGTTAGGTTAGGTTCGATTAGGTTAAGTTTGGATATGTAGTTAGCTAAAGTGGTTAATCATCAGATGTTCCGAAAAGAGTATTTGGATCTACGTGAATATAAAGCAGGTATCTTAGCGCAACTATCATAGCAAAAGCAGTACTTTCACGAGATAGGAAAGAAATGTATAAATCTCAAGGACACGACTTGTCAGAGGTTTGTTCATTAATATTCGCTAAGTGATGATATGAAAATTGATCAAACTCTCTACTGTACAGTATAAGGAAAACGGTAAAAATTGGCATTGAGTTTTGATGAGATTTTGAATGAACGGATTACGGCATTACGTATCTTATGACTGAATCACAAAGGGTGGAGAGGGAGGGTGGCCACAGTGCAAAAAAAAAAAAAAAAAAAAAACGTACACTACGATGATGAGATCAGTCGAACAGGAAAATAAAGGCGAGAAAATATACGCGCAGGGAGATTTTCATGGTGACGAGTGATTTTTGTTTTACTTCACAATATATTTGAAGGTTTTTTAAATTTTACGTTGCAGGTTATAATTTGTTTAGATTAACTAATAAATATCAGTCTGGTAGTAAATAAAAGATTGATAAATAATTATTTATCAATCTTTTATTTACTACCAGACTGATATTTATTAATTATAATAGACAGAGGCCAGCAGGGGACAGACACTTGTGCAATGCAACTTGTTACTTAAGAGACAAGAAGTTGAATATGCAACAAGAGTTTTAAAAGGGTGAATGAACGAGGCTACCGCTCACTCACAGAAGGCGAAGAGAGGAGAAAGGAGTTTAAATATAGGCAGGAGAATTAAACGAGTCCACGCTGAATAAAATGCGCCGTGTAGTTGGGCGAGTTGAACGCGGCCACCATTCATGAACGTCAGAGAGGAGAAAGGATGCATGTACTGGCAGGTGAGTGAACGCTGCCACCACCCGACCACCATCACCCACTGAAACTCTCTTCTCTTAATGCTGGAGGCTGCGCATGATGTTCTCGTTGCTTTTATACGCGCCCTCTCTCTCTCTCTCTCCTTCTTCAGTCTCTTTCACCTTTCATAGCGTCTCTTCGTGTTCATTTTCCCTTCATAAAGAGATGAGAGAGACGCTAGGCGGAAAATTATGAAGTCTCCATAGCGGTAGCATCACATTATAACAAGGTCGCTTAAACAGTGAGTTGTGTTTACATTACCGACAGTGGCTTCTGCTTGTCACATATTCCTCCACATATTTCTGTTTACACACGTCTATAAATAAATAAATATATAAATAAATAAATAAATAAAATATTGTAGGCCCAAATACGGTAATCGCACACTTCTGCCTCCCCTCTACTACACATTATCTCAAACTATTAAAGACATTAAAAGTTATAATCTACATTTTCACCCGCCATCACACACAAGTTGTCCATTATCTGGCTTTTTGATGAGCAGCAGTCGAGGGGGGCGGCAGAGTCTATTTAAAAACAAGTACACGCTACTTGCTCAGGGTTGCACCAGACCAGAGTAGAAATCACATTTTCTCCGTTAGCGCATGACTGACATAAGACATCAGTGAGACTAGGGGGGCTATTGACTTAATTTATCCAAAGACAGTTATATTGACAGTAGACTGCCAAAACAGCTACTTTAATCAACTAACGAATAGTAAACGTAACGCTGGCGGGCAAATGAAAAGGTATAAGGATAGTTTTAAGACAAACTTGAAAAAGTATCAAATCGACCCCCTCACCTGGGAGACGATCACTCCACACCGTAACGCTTGGAGGAACACCACACGAGAAGGTATCAATACTTTCGAATTAGCCCGACTGGAAACCGAGGCAGACAAGCGACAGCGCCGGAAAGACGCTGCCGCTGCTCCTGCCGCAGTAGATGGAGACATCCACATGTACAACATCTGTGGACGACTCTGCCGGTTCCATATCGGCAACTTTAGTCACCATAAAACTCACCAACCTAGGTGACATCCTTAATAACTCATATCATTGTATCATAGCTGGATGATTGCCATACTTGATTCCGAGTGATAGCAAAGTACTAGTAGTAGTAGTAGTAGTAGTAGTAGTGTGTGTGTGTGTGTGTGTGTGTGTGTGTGTGTGTGTGTGTGTGTGTGTGTGAAAACTCTTCGTCTACGACCATTAATATCATGCAGCTGTTGAGATCTATTTGATTATGTTGTGTATATACCTGTACAGTAGCTTAAACAACTATCTGTGCGTACTTTGTGGTAAACAATATGAGACCATGGACGATACATTTTGGTATATGAGGGCTGTCACTAGTCACACGTCAAATTTCAGAGCATATCGACCCCCACCTGCACAGATAGTTGTTTTAGCTGCTGTACATGATGGCGCTGTGTTCAGTTCATCAGCGGGAGTGAATTTTTATAGTAAAGTGTGGCTGTGTATGGAGGTGTGTGAGTGCTTTTGGAGGTGTGTGAGTCTTTTTGGAGGTGTGTGAGTCTTTTTGGAGGTGTGTGAGTCTTTTTGGAGGTGTGTGAGTCTTTTTGGAGGTGTGTGAGTGTTTTGAAGGTGTGTGAGTGTTTTGGAGGTGTGTGAGTGTTTTTGAAGGTGTGTGAGTGTTTTGGAGGTGTGTGAGTGTTTTTGGAGGTGTGTGAATGTTTTTGGAGGTGTGTGAGTGTTTTTGGAGGTGTGTGAGTTTTTTTGGAGGTGTGTGAGTGTTTTTGAAGGTGTGTGAGTGTTTTGGAGGTGTGTGAGTGTTTTTGGAAGTGTGTGAGGCGAGAGTATAAGGGCTACCAAGACAGAACTGGTGTACGGTACTGTGGAAGAGAGGTGACGGTGACGATGAAGACGAAGCGGTGACGGCGAAACACGAACGGTTACGCTGGATTCGTGATTGATAGTGTCTAATGACTAGATAATACGACAGTGTACTAATTAACGGCGACAATGTAAAGATAACGGTGACGGCTATGGCCCGTACCGTATAAGCGTCACACAGCACGTCACGCCGGCCACCACCCCGATTCCTCCCCCCCCCCTTCTTTACCACCACCATTGACTCCTACCTTCCATTGCCTTTCACTTTTAAGGTAGTTAGTTACTTTATGGGTAAATTACAAACCTCTGTACACCTTGATAGGGTTAAGTATTGTACTACCATAAGCTAGGTACAGTGGTTTATCTTAGAAGTTCATAGCTGACGGGATAATGGTTTTGAATAGGTGTGTGTGTGTGTGTGCAGAAGACGTTAGTAGTGTGTCTATTTATCTACAGGAGACGTAGTTAGGTTAGGTTAGGATAGTCAAGAATAGGGCTGTTAGGTGGTGGTACTTGTTTTAGCGCCAGCAGCATACTTGAGGTAACAGCTGTCGGTGGTGGTGGTGAGGAGAGTAATTACTGTAGTGGTCACTCACCCAGGTCACTCACTCTGGTCACTCACTCAGGTCACTCACTCTGGTCACTCATTTATGTCACTCACTGTGGTCACTCACTCACTGATCACTCTGGTCACTCACTCTGGTCACTCATTTATGTCACTCACTGGTCACTCACTCTGATCACTCACTCAGGTCACTCACTCTGGTCACTCATCCAAGTCACTCACTCTGGTTACTCACTCATGTCACACTCTGGTCACTCATTTATGTCACTCACTCTGGTCACTCATGTCTGTCACTCAGGTCACTCACTCACTTTTTGTCTAGGACTCATATATTACCATGGTAGGACATATTATTGTACCCCTCTTCTTTCGACTTCTCTTCATTTCGAACTTATTGAGTTATGAAAGCTTGAAAGATCTGTGTGTGTGTGTGTGTGTGTGTGTGTGTGTGTGTGGTACAATAACCAATAAGAGAAGAAAATAATCAACAAACAAAAATAACATCTTCATGCTTCAGATAACAACAGAAACCGCTTCTCGCCATTCTCTTCAACCATAGACTTACAACAGTACCTGATCCCTTATAAAATCTTCATTACGTCATGTGCTAATTTTCATTTGTTTTTGTTACTTATTATTTTTTTTTACGAATGTTATAATGTAGATACAATTATTTAGAATGTATCCTTGGTTGTATCGGCTTATTGTTGACTATTTTGATTATACTTACTGTACTATCTCTATGTGGATGTTGAATCATTGTGAATTTGTATAGGACGATTTTATTGAATTGTATATATTTGTTTGTGTCTCCAACTGTGATAACGGCAGTCACAGTTAACTATTTTGAACCTGGAATTATATCATTTACAGTTACTCCTCCGTCTTAGCCACCCGTCTCTGCCGCGACTGCTGGCCTGTAAACTCCTCAGTAATAACTCTTTGCCGCTGCATCACATCCGGCAGCCGGTCAGTTGCTCCTCTATCCCAGCCATCTGTCACTCCATCAACTCCGTCTAAATTCTCTATGTTAAACTGCATCTTCATCACATCTGTTGTCTTCGTAGGATTGTTAAAAGCCTTCGTCCGTTTCTGTTATATTCTGACATAAAATCGCAAAGATACGTATGGATTGTCAAAAGCCTTCGTCCGTTTCTGTTATATTCTGACATAAAATCGCAAAGATACTTTTTTTTTGGGGGGGAGCAAGTGTTATTTATCTACACAAGTGTTATGTATCTACACGAGTGTTATGTATCTACACGAGTGTTATGTATGTACACAACACTTACTGCAATCACTCGTTCTTCCTGGGAGTGGTAGAGGCGGCCTCCTTCCCTCTGGTAATTAATGGTTAACAGGTTACAACACCGAGACCAGAAGAAAGTGAACTCTTTGTACCCTGACCTCACCATTCTGCCCTCTCTCCTACACACACCTACAGTACACGCCCACACGCATGTACGCCCACACACATGTACGCCCACACACCTGTATGCCAACACATCTACACGCCAGTACACCTACATGCTCACACATCTGTACGCCCACACACCTGTATTCCAACACATCTACACGCCCACACACCTACACGCCCACACACCTGTACGCCCACACACCTGTATTCCAACACATCTACACGCCCACACACCACACGCCCACACACCTGTACGCCCACACACCACACGCCCTCACACCTGTACGCCCACACACCTGTATGCCAATCTACACGCCAATACACCACACGCCCACACACCTACACGCCCACACACCTGTACGCCCATACACCCGTACGCTCACACCACACGCCCACAAACCACACGCCCACACACCTGTACGCCCACGCACCTACACGCTCACACATCTGCACGCCCACACACCACATGCCCATACACCACACGCCCACACCTACGCGCCCACACACCTGTACGCCCACACCCACACGTCCACACACCACACGCCCACACCACACGCCCACACACCTACACGCCCACACACCTACACGCCCACACGCCCACACACCTACACGCCCAAGCCTACACGCCCATACACCTGCACGCCCTCACATCTACGCGCCCACACACCTGTACGCCCACACATCACCCTACAGTATGTTCTACAGTCATGTTTCCATTTACCAGTGTTGTGAGGAGTGTGGACACAATGAAGCATCACCTCACCATAAGAGAGAATCACCACACACCGTAAGCAGTACGTGTAAACAATAATAATTACAGTTTGGTCGAGGCAACAGGCCATTGGAATCATAACAACACGAAACTGCCATCAGGGTAAATGGCTTCTTAAATTACTAGAGTCTGTGTGTTAACTATAAGACTTAAACTTACTCTTACACTAGTTAGCGTCACCCACTTTAAAACAACGTAAGATTATCTGAGTGTGTGTTAGTCGTATTTTCTTCACTACCGGGTGATCGTAACGTTATGATGGTGATTTGAGCAGTGACCAACGAGTGGGAAATAGTTTTTTTTTTATATAATATGAGTGAAAGAGCCAGAAATAAGCCTCCAAGTGCATGATGTATTATTCTTTACACCTTCGATTATAGATCATTTACATGACTTGCATTATGGCCAGTTGTCAAAAACATTTCCAAGAGGAGAGAAACTTGCACACACACACACACACACATATTCCATGCACGTGATGACTAAAGAGAGAAAGTCATCCGAATGTTACTATTGTTTATATACCGTGTTCCTGTTCGTATTTTGATGGCCATATTGTGGACATAAAACAACCCGTTTATAACTCTCTCACGTAAACCACGATATAACATACTAGAAGGTACTTGTTTGTGTGGCGCAGCAAGTTTTTTTTTTTTAGTTATTTATACAGTTTTTTTTGTAGGATTCTTTAATAATGATTTCTGACACAGCTACTGTCCTTGCTTTTACATTAGATAGTTTGTATAGTTCACATACCATCAGCTCTGACCTACTCGACAAGTGTTGAGTAATAGCATAATGATACACCACTTCACATTATCTTGACCAATAACAAATAACAGTCCGGTGGCGTGATTGGTGATTTGTTATGTTGGTGGTGGAAAATACAGACTTTTACAAAATACAGGAGAGAATGTTGTAGCCTAAGGTTAACTATGATAAAAAAATAGCGTTCAGGATAAAAGGGTGGAATATTTTGGTTGATTGGTTGATATTTTCTCTTTCTTCAGTTTGGGAAAAATAACAACAGACTCTCCATAACGGGTGGCAGTGAAAGCTTAAAGCAAATTATTACAGAAAGTGAGAGAGTCAGCTGCTGGACAAAAGACTGTAGCCAGGTGGAGGACATAAGCAGAAAGCAATAACCTAATCAACAAGTGGTTCGTAACAAAACACACAGCTGAAGTTATTGACAATCACCATAAACTTCACTTCTGTTATTTATACTGATTATTTTTGGTAACTGGTGAAAGTATAAGTATTTTGGTGTTTTTTGCTTTGTTTTTTCAAGGGATAAAATACATATTAGGGTATTTTGTTTATAGTAATTTGTTTATATAATTTCTAGAGTAGTTTGTCCTCTTTCGTCTGTCATGGTTCGTTTTCTTTATCTAACGTAGTGGGTTTTCTTTCTTCTACCCCCCCCCCCATCATTTAATGTCCAACTCTTGTAAAATTACCGATACGGATATGTTTATTATGCAGACGAATATTTTTACGACTGAGTCCAAATCTTCGTAAAGACTCCAGTGAAAAAAACTAAAAAAAACTAACCGAATATATGTATCTATAGGATTCATTAAGGCAGAGAGATAGAGATCAAAATGGTGTCGACTTTGGACTGAGACTCTACCTTAAATAGATGAATTTAATCCTCAGCTATGGGGTGGGGAGGAGGGGGGGAGGAGGAGGTTAATACTCGAGGTTAATACTTAAGACGGATGGCAATAGTCAAGTAGGACCACACAAGTGATTCATTTTCTCGTCTAATGTTAAAACTCATCACAGAAATAGTTATTTGTTGTTCAAGAAGAAGCAAGTCAGCACTTTATCGTCTCGTGGCTGAACAAAGAAGGTTATTTTTACTTTTACCGAGGGAACACTTTGCTATTGATCGTCTAATAACTAAACAAACACAGACGAACGAAATACCTATTACTGATGACTTATTAACATTTAGTAAATTTAGTGAAAAATATACCGTTCTTGTAATAGAAAATCCTTACATGTGGGAGACTAGGTTAGGTTAGGTTAGCGTTAGGGTACATTAAGCTTTAGGGAGCTTAAGTAAAATAAGCTGGGGTGGCTAATCTTCAGGTGATCCCTACTTAATCATCTCGGGGGAAATCTCTTGAAAGTCACTTACTGTTTAATGGTGGATATTCTCTCTTGTGTGTTCTCCAAGTAGCGCTCGACCATCCTCACGATCTCCGCCTCAAGGCTCAGGAGATCTTCAAGCTTGCTAGTGGCGGAGAACATGTCTTCCCTGGCCTCCGACATGAAGTTCTGTCCCCAGGCCGTCCCCGTCACCGTCACCAACACCAGCAGGAGGGGGATGACCTGTGGGGCGGGTGTGGAAAGAGGGAGGTGGGGGTCAGTGGTCAGGCTCGTGTGGGGGCGAGGCTGTAGAAATAGGGATTATTTATAGTGGTGATTGGCCGCCGGGGATAGTTATATTGGAACTGTGTGTGTGTGTGTGTGTGTGTGTGAGGAAGATGGGAGGGGGCGAGCGTAAAGAAGGTACACGCAGGCTTGTGAGTGTTGCAACAAGCACTTAAACTACTTGAGTAACATATAAGACTCCCAGACACTCCATACAAATTACAGTGCATTACCGGTACCTACAGCGATAGAAGGGAGTTATCCATCCACTCTGCCTTGAACCACTTGTAATTCTGATTGTATTTTGACGATCATCCTGTGACTACTGTACAGAAGAGAAATTTTTATATTCCAGTTTCAAATTTTTTCGGCTTTTATGTCAAGAAGTATAGTTTTTTTTTCTCTAAATATCACAACACCGAAGGTCTTTAAAACTTCACAAGGATGCTGAAAGTCATGGCGATCTAGCGTATCATCTAATGTCTAAAAACCAAAGAAATGATCCTTGAAAAATAAGAAACGTATCATTACAATAATCATATCGTTTATATTTTGCAATCTTTCCTCACGTTCATTGAGGGTTTTTTTTTATACTCATTATTACTTAACATTATATTAAGGTAAAAACTTTCAATATAACTTCTTAATGTATTCGTGACGTAATCTGACCACTGAACTGCGATGGATTATGTGTCTGTGTGAGTGCAGCGCCCGGAGCACGAAGCGACGACGACCCACACTTTCCTAACTCCTTCATCGTAACCACAGGGAGCATCCTTGGCCAACACCCTTAGGCTGGCTGGCTCCTCCACACACACACACACACACACACGTTGAAGTAGTTTATATGATCCCAAATCCTTATAAATGCAGTTTAACCTAACCTAACCTAACCCCCCACCCCAGGTAGCGTTAGGGTGTTAAATCATCACGTAAAATAAACTAAGGTATCTAATCTTCAGGTGATCCGGTCAATGTTAAAATGCAGCAACTGTTAAACACCAAAAGCTCCTAAAATCGTAAAGGAAAACACAATAATAATAATAATAATAATAATAATAATAATAACTATAATAAAGTTACAGAAAACGTGTGTATGTAAATATTTAAACCTGGAAATAATTAGATACAGGTTACCAGAGAGTTGCTCGTCTGACTTAACGATGACTGAAACGACTGCGTGACGACTAGTGTCTCTCTAAGCTGTGTCAGGGGTATAGTGCTGACCAACACCAAGCACCCCTTACCATCTTAATATATTCATAGATACACTAAACGTTCAAAAACTCCCTAAAAAAAACAACAAAAACAGGATTCAACTCTTTAAGTGCTTATACTAATCCTCTATATTGACAGAATAACCGTAACTATAAACAAAACCTTTCTCTAAAAACCTCTTGAATTCGATGCTCACTTGTCATCATCATATGTTATATCTTTTATTGCGATGATCTCCTATACATCCTGTGAAGTCATTGTGTTGATGTCTTGTCATTCTGTTGATGTCACGTCATTCTGTACTCAGGTCAGGGTTAAATGTCTATGATATTTTATGTAATTGTCTTTATATTTCTTGTCCATGCGTTCCTTTGTCTGATGTTGTCCTATTTGTACTGTTTACTTATTATAATGAATCATGTAGTTCAGTTTAGGTTAGGTTAGGTTGTTAGGTTAGGTTAAGTTAGGTTAGGTTCATCAGGTGAAATAAGCAGGAGTGCCTAATCATCACCTGTTCCTCAAGGTAATACCAAAGAGAATTTCCACAAAAGGTCACATTAGGTCACCACGCGCCACTACATGAGGTCACCACGCGCCACATACCAGCACCTACGACCCAGAACTTTGTCGTACAGTAATACACTTTCCCTTCTCTTCTCTGTCCTTCTGTTGCATCCCGTTACTTCTGTTGCATCACGGTACTTCTGTTGCATCACGTTACTTCTGTTGCATCACGTTACTTCTGTTGCATCATCAGGTGAAATAAGCAGGAGTGCCTAATCATCACCTGTTCCTCAAGGTAATACCAAAGAGAATTTCCACAAAAGGTCACATTAGGTCACCACGCGCCACTACATGAGGTCACCACGCGCCACATACCAGCACCTACGACCCAGAACTTTGTCGTACAGTAATACACTTTCCCTTCTCTTCTCTGTCCTTCTGTTGCATCCCGTTACTTCTGTTGCATCACGGTACTTCTGTTGCATCACGTTACTTCTGTTGCATCACGTTACTTCTGTTGCATCCCGTTACTTCTGTTGCATCCCGTTACTTCTGTTGCATCCCGTTACTTCTGTTGCATCACGTTACTTCTGTTGCATCACGTTACTTCTGTTGCATCCCGTTACTTCTGTTGCATCCCGTTACTTCTGTTGCATCCCGTTACTTCTGTTGCATCACGTTACTTCTGTTGCATCACGTTACTTCTGTTGCATCCCGTTACTTCTGTTGCATCCCGTTACTTCTGTTGCATCCCGTTACTTCTGTTGCATCACGTTACTTCTGTTGCATCACGTTACTTCTGTTGCATCCCGTTACTTCTGTTGCATCCCGTTACTTCTGTTGCATCCCGTTACTTCTGTTGCATCACGTTACTTCTGTTGCATCACGGCGTTTAGGTCTTTCCCTCCTATTATATCGTGATTGGCTATTTGTGTTTATGAATTTTCTTTCACATCTCTCTCTCTCTCTCTCTCTCTCTCTCTCTCTCTCTCTCTCTCTCTCTCTCTCCAACACTACCACCACCACTACCACAACCACCTCATCAACCACCACCCAACTATATAATAACACAACCCACCACCGCCACCGCCATCAATAGTGGTAGATGATACGTGACGCTAACGGTATATACGACTTATATCACCTATGTCGTTATTACGGCCTATAGCGAACTCCTCACCGTTATATCACCATGACGATTGACTGTTATTCAACCCTGGGAATTGATGGAGTTTTTTAAAGGCGTAATTAGTTGATAGATATGATAACGAGGTTGTTTGAGAGTTGGTGATGGTTGGTTGATGGTAGGTTAGGTTAGGGAGTGCCTCTAGGTGATAATCCCACGGTGGTTGTGGACGCCAGAGGTCACCAGGTCAAGAGGTCACCAGGTCAAGATAGAAACAGGTGACACTCGATAACAAAATGAAGTTCGATAATAATGAGAGGGGAGAGGTTCAGTAATGAGAGGGGAGAGGATCAGTAATGAGTGGGGAGAGGTTCAGTAATGAGAGGGGAGAGGTTCAGTAATGAGTGTGGAGAGGTTCAGTAATGAGAGGGGAGAGGTTCAGTAATGAGAGGGGAGAGGTTCAGTAATGAGTGGGGAGAGGTTCAGTAATGAGAGGGGAGAGGTTCAGTAATGAGAGGGGAGAGGTTCAGTAATGAGAGGGGAGAGGTTCAGTAATGAGAGGGGAGAGGTTCAGTAATGAGAGGGGAGAGGTTCAACGAGACAGGAAGGTGAACACGTCTAAAAGTTACCAGGAAAATAGACACGAACGTCGCCATAGACTAACAGAATATGGCGTGAACTAACTTATGAATATTACAATACCAATGCGTGTTTTTCTCTACTGCTGCTGTGCTTTTAGCTTCCAGGGAATAATAATAAGTACTAAGAGCAGGAGACAGAGAGGTCATAACGACGCTTCCAGCAACAGTCGGTCGCCTACACTATTGGAATGTTAACCACGGGGGATCAACCTGCTGGCTCTTCCCTCACCAGGAATTACAGCCGCTAACCATTTACTGTATATTATTTTATTTTGTTTACTACACGTACCAACCAAAATTAATATAATGACCTTTATGTAGTTTTTACGTTAGAAATGTAGAATATCAACAAACCCGGTCGTGGTACTTTTCCAACATTGTACACTTTATCACCCCCCCCCCATGCCATGAACTATAAATACTATGTCCACAATAATAGTTCCTTGTAAGCCTGTTTATATACAAGAAACATCAGATATTGCGACAGAAAATATATAAAAACTGGCACCATTGGAAAAAATAATATATTAAAAACATGTAAACACCAAGCTACGAAATCTTGAGCCATATTTCTCCCATTCTCCTCATGTATGGGAACTTTCTCTCGCATAATTACGTATCTTATGTACTGGTGAAAACAACTTCCCGTAAAATCATGATCACAAGAACTATCTCTTTGTCAGGGAACCAACTGCCGGGCCATAGGTTAGGCTACGCAACGGTGACAGCTGTAGGCCCTTAACGCAACAAGTAGGTAAATTATTTTTATTATTAGATTTTCTATATTAATACCACCACTAAGAATACTTTAGGAGGTTAGAGTCAGCTGAGAGAGTTTATTAAGCCAGGAGAAGCTGTCGGACTTTACGATCAATTTCCCTAATGCTATCTAAACCTAACCTAACCCTAACCTACCCAACAGACTTCCGATACTTAACAAGAGATCCCAGCAGTGGAGTTAAGACAGTGTGACCATTATCTCACCGACCATGACGACAAAGTGTGAGGTGTTGGTGGGGGTAGAGTGACATGCAAAGACACACTTCTCCAGGTGCTATATCTGTTCTCACTCACGCAAGACCAGACTGATCATTACATCTCACTGTCTTACACCCTTCACTGCTGTCTTTACCTGTCTTCCCTTCACTCCTTAATGCTGTAGAGAGAGAGAGAGAGAGAGAGAGAGAGAGAGAGAGAGAGAGATTACCTTAAGTCCCCGCGAGGAAACGAAACACGATTTTCTTTTGCGATTGTTAATTGTTTATCCTATGAAAATATTTTGTATAAACGTTTCTCGTCTTTATTATTATTATTGTTATTATTATCATTATTCCTAGGTAACAAAAATATTAATATCAGATATCCAGTATTGATTTGTATACTATGAGTTCAGGGGAAAATCTACTCTCTTTTTTTAATTTAGTGATGCTTCAATTCTTACTCGGGAAGATTAATACGAGTGGGAGGTTAATTCTGTCGAGGAAAGTAATCTATGCCTGAGCAAATCTTCTGAGTCTTGCTTGGTAGAGGATTAAATTTCAGTGCAGCGACATACTCTGGTATATCAGGAATAGAAATCTGTTTGTTTTTTGGGGAGATCTTCCGTATTTGGTTAGGTTAGGTTAGGTTCTCAAAACGTAAAGATCTGGATAGCCTTCATAGACAGCTGTTGCATTCCTATAGCTCGTAAATTCCCATAACTTCCGCCTCTCACGGTTTCTCACAAGTGGGTCTGAGGACACCCTGCAGACGGTCGCGTGCTTGTAGACGTCCATCCTTCTGAGACAACGGTGAGACCAACACACACGCCTCCTGCTGGTGTCTTCTGACGGGGCAACAACTCCTCCGCCTCAGCAGCAGTAATAACGGTAGCAGTAGCAGTAGCAGTAGCAGTAGCAGTAGCAGTAGCAGGCAGGCATCTTCAGTAACAATGGGCCGAAGAGGAGGAAAAGTGGTGGTGGGATAGCATTGTGCCAGCATGGGTGGGGCTTCCTGTCAGACCAAGGCCTATACTACAGCTAGGCTTAAGCTTTCCCCCTCTTTAACCACACCCAGCCGACATTCACCCCACACCCAGCCGACATTCACCCTACCTAGTTTGTACTGATTATATAACTATTAAGACTTTTTTGTTTATATTTCTGAGTTTTAATGTGTACGAGCATTAAAAGGTGACAGTGGTTTGCCTTAGATCCAACGAGGGGCATCTTGTAAAGTTTCTGTTCTGTAAAGAAGGAAATTACGAGTATCCGAAGAAATCTGCCATGTTTGGTTGGGTCACCCTGACTTACATTCCACCTAAGCAGGGATCACACCCGGGTCATAGTGGCGAGAGGAAGGAACACTATAGCCGGACCACACGACAGCCAGTCAAAAAATAATAATAATAATTGGGGTTCAGAGGAGTATTATAGATGTGAGTGAAAACAACACCAATTTGTGAATTTATCCATACCGTTTATTGACCTTGTGTTTAACTGATCTAGTGTCGTGGAAATGTTAACTGGAATACCACGAACGCCTCCTCAAACCCCCGTCAGTACACAACCAAACTTACCTAAATGCGATATAACACTTTACAATATAACACCTAAAAGGGCCATTTATGAAACTTTATAACGTGTGCCTTTTGGCTATTTTGTTCATCATTGGTATTGTCTGTTTCCTCAAGCAGTTAGGTCCGTTTCCCCTGCCTGAGGAAAATACTCGTTTTCCTGTCAGGCCAAGACGACGATGAACAATAGACCACAGTGTAGGTCAAGAGCTGAAACACGTGATGGCTACCTTTTCCAAACTTTATCACAGGTTAGGTTAGGTTAGGTTAGGTTTGTGTGTGTAAGCAACAGTCGATAATCACAGTTCATTAGTGTGGAAGGAAGATTTGACCATTACGTATAAACTAGGTCATGTTAGGTTAGGTTAGGTTAGGAGAGGATAGATTAGGTTAGGTTAGGAGAGGATAGATAAGGTTAGGTTAGGTTACCGAAAGGATAGTTAATATCCAGGTAAAATAATCAGAGGTGGAGATTCTTCATGGAACAAAGAATTAATAAATCTACTCCACTAACTTACACGATAAAGAATTAGATTTAACTAAGACTCAATAACAAATAATTTAAGGTAAACACAAGGATGTAGTGAAGTATGGAGCATGTGTGACCTCACGATGTTCTGCGGTTTGGTGGCCACAGGAGGTAATGTTCTCAAGAGGTAGTTGTTGGCCTCAAGACTCTGACGAGCCCTCCCTCCCTCCCTCCCACCCACCCCCCTCCTCCCTCTCAACCCCACCCCCAGGACAGAGTTGAGCCAGTTGTGGTTTTATGGTTTATTTCTGAGAGAGGGGGGGAGGGGTTACCTGATGATTAGCACCCTGGTTTATTTTACCTTTATATTAATCATCCCTACGCTAACCTAACCTAACCTAACGCTAACCTAACGCTAACCTAACGCTAACCTAACCTAACCTAACGCTAACCTAACCTAACATAACCTAACCTAACGCTAACCTAACCTAACTTAACCTAACGCTAACCTAACCTAACCTAACCTAACCTAAGCCCTCCAGGTAACGTTAGAGTGTTTAATCATCAGGTGAAATAAGCTAGGGTGTCTAATCTTCAGGTGATCCCAACATTGACGTAATATTAACAGGCAACACAGGAAATCACTTTAGACACACACACACACACACACACTCATTTGTACGTATCACATCTATTTCTTCTATTAATCTTCTGTAACTTATGTATTAATAAAGGAAAAATATTCAAATATACCCTAGTGACTCGGTGATCCTGTTAATAATTTTCCTCGGGTCTTGATTTTCCCGTTGTAGTGGCGCCTTCTTCCTCTACATGTTCACTACTGTGTTTATTGAGACAGTGTACATACATTACTAGTAAGCCTTCAATCACCACTGACGTATTTGGGTTAGGTTAGGTTAGGGTTACACATACATACATAAACAACATCAATATAACACAAAAATAACTTACCTTCATATTTCCTTTGTCGCCAATGATGAATAAATCTTTGTAGTGAAGATGATGCAGGTGTAGGTAAGAGACGTTACACCTTCACACTGTAACACCTGACTGACACGCTCTCGCTTCACCTCCCTCTATTAATACTCTACCTGGCACCTCCTCACCTGGTTGCCACTTACTCATTTAATCACTAGTATTGCCTGTATTTTATTTTTATTTTTTTTACAATCATAATACACAACACAAACACAACACACACACACCACACACACAACACAAATACACAACACACTCGGTTCCCTATGTGTGAATCCTCCCTCCACTCTTTGCTTCTCTAAATATCCTTCAGATATGTACAACAGTTTTCCCAGTGTGATTTTACGATAGAACTTTAGCCACAAATAATGACGGGTTGTAAGCTCTCTCTCTCTCTCTCTGTCAATAGTTGTTTAATTCTCTCTACTTCCTCTTTCATTTAATAATATTTAAGCTATAATTTCTTGATATCATTGCCTACATAAATTCTCACACTTTGTAGCGTTAAAAAGACACTACAGGGAGAATTAAGCTACGAATGACTCGAATTATTGACCCAGTGTAGGTGTAGAGGTAGTGAGAAAGAACTACAAGGGAATAACAATATTTCTCAGGGTGTTGTTCAGCGAGATATAGAGAACTGTGTAGAGATGAGAGATATACACGTATTAGGTCTCTCAGTGTGATGTAGAGAACTATGAAGAGATGAGAGAGACACAAATGATAGGTTTCTCAGAGTATAATGTGTTTATAATGGTGTAAGTTGTGGTCAGGCTGTCAAGGAGAGTGACTTGAACATTATGGATGACTCAGCTGTAATAATGAACCACAGAAGTAACAGATACACTTATAATGCCCACGCTGGCACGGTAAATAACATAGTACTAGTATAGCGAAGCGCGTAATGGTCTCCTGTGCTTTAAATAGATCGTTGTGTTTATTGCCTGAGATACCCACAAGCCTTACAAGTTGAACGTATCGTAAAATTTTTTTTTTTATATTATGCTATATCAGTATTGTCTCTGACCCACTTGCTACCACTTTTTTTTCTTCAGATAATCTAGTCAAAATTTACTATTTCACCCTTAACATCAATATTATTTAATTATATTTACATCCATTCACGGTCAAAGATATATTTTTAAGCATATTTTAACTAACCAGAGTAATGTTACAGATTCACCCCCACCCCACTTGGATTAATAGGTCACGGGGGGCACAGAATAAAACCTTTAAACACTCTGAAAATTTATAGGTACTTCGTCTGGCTAACAAAAGAACGCGACGTGATAAATACATATAATTATCCTACGGTTTCTAAATAAGTCACTACCTGTGAGGAAGGTTTCACTTGATAATATACCAGGGACGGATCTATCGAGCTGGTAAATGCAGTATGTACCAATGGCGGGGAAAAAAAATCAACAACGAAGTATTATCTCGTCGGTGATTGGTTGACTGAGGGAAGGGGTAAGGGATTCAGATGAAGTTGATTGGTGGATTTTGGGTATACGGAGGTGGAGGTGGTGTTAGGAAATATGGTGAAAATACACACAGATTAGTAATAGATTTATAGTGTCTGTGGTGTTTGTTGTCATCAAGTCGTGCGTGTAGTTATTTATTCTTGTTTTTCTGAGTTTTTTTTTCTTCAGGATATAAATGTTTAGTGTTGTTATGTATGTTAAGTGGTAAGTGGTAAGTTATCTGTAAAATGGTATCGTGTTTGTTAAGTGGTAAGATGTTTGTTAAGTGATAAGTTGCCTGTTTAAGTGGTACTACATCTTTGGTAAGGTATTTATTAAGTAGTAAGGTGTTTCTTAAGTGGAATGCTATTTTTTAAGTGGTAGAATATTAAAACTGAATATTATTTACAGTATACATTCCACGCCAACACACTCATAAAGTACAACTTATTTGCAGACGATAGTAATCTCTATGCCAGCAACTCAGACCTCCATTCCTTGATGAGAACTATGAACACTGAATTGATTAAAGTCAGGACCTGGGTAGTACGTAATAAACTGACCTTAAACCCTGAAAAAACCCACTACACGATATTTCGCAGAAGGAAAAACTTACCCTCAGACTTGGACCTCCTGTACCTTGGTAATACAGTCCTCAAACGCGAACAAAATACTAAATTCCTCGGAGTTATTGTTGATGAGAAACTTAACTGGAGAAACCACATACAAGCCATTCACAGTAAGGTCAATAAACAGTGCGGTATCATGTGTCACACTCGACAGTCACTCACTCTCGCAGCAACGAAAGAAATCTATCATGATCTTGTTTACCAACACCTGATACACTGCCACGCACTATGGGGGGGCCTCTAGCTCTTCAAAAACCCAATCCCTGGTTACTGCACAAAAGAGAGTTGTGCGGACAATGACCTACTTGAAAAAAACTGATCACACAAACGAACAATTTGCTAAATTGAAAATGTTAAAATTCGAGGATATTAACACCTACTGCTGTGCCCTCTTTGTTTACAAATCTGTCAATCACTTGTTTGACAACAATTATTTCCAGTTCCGGAATAATCAGAGATACAACTTAAGGCACCAAGAGAGACTAAGACCACCCCCCATGCGCTCCTCTCAGTCCCAGACCTCCATAAAATGTCTTGGTGTGAAGGTGTGGAACAACTTACTCCCATCCATCCCAGCAAAGACTACGCTCCCTTCCTTTAACTCATCTTTAAAAAAATATCTATTGTCTAAGTATTAGTATTAATAGTTTTTTGTAATACCTTCTTCATATACCTGCTTTTACTGTACCACCAAAACCGTTTTATCAGAAATTTTCATGTAATATATAGGTAAAAGGTTAACATTTGCAACGGGTGTATTTGCCAACTAGACATAATCCTGACAGCTCTGTCCTCTTGCTCAACCTTAATACAGCCCATGTTGTACTGCTTCCCTCCCTTATCATATATATATTTTTCAATTTTCACTGTAACTTATGTATATACTTATAATATAAATAAAAAAAAGTAAATAAATAAATAAATAAATTAAATAAATATCGAAGTGATAACCTTGGTAACATCCTGAGGTGTTCTTATTACCTCTATGCTATGTGTACTATTCCAGATGTTACTAAATGTTACATAATACTTCCTTGAGATAAATGTACAGTATATATCAGGTGCCTACAAGAGAGCTCAGGCTCTCAACTGGCTCAGCCATGTTAATATTATGATTTTGTATCGACTCTGTATCTGTGTTCTTCTGGCTAGATAAACTGTTTCAATATCAATATCAATATATCAATAGCTGCTAAACACTTGATGTACCTCCGTGAGAGAGAGAGAGAGAGAGAGAGAGAGAGAGAGAGAGAGAGAGGTACTGGACTGGCTGACTGACTGATACTTGCTTAATATAGTTTTGCATCTCATTATTTTCCCCGTTGAAGATTTAATTTCTAAACGGGATTAATCTCACCAGGGTTGTGATCTCGTGTATAAATTTGTCTTGTTATTATTTTTGTTTATCAAGGAAAAATATCTAAGGCAGGAATGAGGTTGTGAGTTGTTAAATTGAGGTTATGTTTTTGTGTGAGTTAGGTGGATAATATATTGTTTGTTATTCTTGTTATTGTTTGGGGTTTCTTATGTGAATTTTCTGTGATGATGCTTCTCTTACTACTACTAATATTTTGTTTTAAACGTGGCCTTCATCCTCCCCCTATAGCCACACCTTCGCCGCCATTTTATTACCTTAAAATTAAATATCCTAATACATAAGTAGCTATCCTAGCTGTGTTGAGTTAGTTGAGCCGCAGATCTATGTGGCATTCAGTGACTGTTGCCTCATAGTCAATATCTGCAGCAGTTGTCGGCTTTGGGGCCGATGCTCTCGTTCCCCTGAGGCAGAGCAAAGCCGACCTAAGGAGAGAGAAGGACAGTCGACATCTCATCCAGGCTGTAACATAACTTCTGGGCTGCTGCTTCTGTTCGGAGATCACCTCCGTGAGTCTGGCGTAGAAGCATCTTGCACTTGGTCCCATCCCACCAGAGGTTGTGAACACTAGAGGAGTGAAGCTGCCTTGATCAACGTTCTGAATTCTCTCCCCATATGCCCTTATCTTGTCGTTCTCGTTCCTCCTGTGTGCAGCATCGAGAGCTAGGTTACGGTAACTACTAACTACTACTACTACTACTACTACTACTACTACTTTTTTTAACATGGCCTCCAACCTCCCATTACAGCCATACCTTCTCCATACATTTTATTATCTACTACTACTACTACTACTACTATTACTACCAACGTCTAAAACTACTACTAATAATAACCAGGAAAATTAATCTGAGTTTGTAAATATTGCAACTATCACGATGAGAAGGGCGGTTATTAGTGCTGATCAAGTGACGTGGTTATGAAATATTGTTGGTATTGATTGTAGCAGAGTCTGTTATTGACTTATATCTGGAAAAAGTTATTGATATTGTGACTAAGCTTATTGTAATCTGTTTGTTTTGGTTATATACTGTGAGGTTTCTAAGATGGCGACAACATTGCTTCCTCTGCTATTTTTTTTTTTCTGTTTAGATATGTTGAAGTTTGGGGTGAAGGTGTTCGAAAATGTGGGTTTGGTGGGTTGGTTGGTTTTTTTTTGGTTGGTTGGTTGGTTGGTTTTTGGTTGTTTTTGTTGGTTGATTGGTTGGTTGTTTTTTTGGTTGATTGGTTGGTTGTTTTTTTTGGTTGGTTGGTTTTTGGTTCATTGGTTGGTTGGTTTTTGGTTGGTTGGTTAGTTTTTGGTTGGTTGGTTGGTTGGTTTTTGGTTGGTTGGTTGGTTGGTTTTTGGTTGGTTGGTTGGTTGGTTGGTTTGGTTTTTGTTTGCTGTTTTGGTTGGTTTTTTGGTTGGTTGGTTGGTTGGTTGGTTTTTTGGTTGGTTGGTTGGTTGGTGTTTTGGTTGGTTGGTTGGATGTAAATAATGAGCTCGATAAAGTCACTTATAGGAGGGTAAGATCCTCATTAAAGACATATTAATGTTAGTATTATTTCTCCAAGTGTTATGTCTATTTAAGTAACTTCATGCGTGTGTTATCTATATATATCCGGGTTACAGAGGAGTGTTCAACCAGCAGCTTCCAATCACCAAGATACAATCATTTGAGCGAGGGAAACTACCATGCAGAACAATGGTAGTCAGCTGTCAGTCGGTTTTCACTCGTGGTTGGTTGATAAAAAGTCGAGGGCTCGTTGGTCCATTCTCTCTCGGAAAGACAACAACAGTTTCACTCTGGCATTGATCTAGCGGGAAGAGGCCCCACGTGAAGATGTCTAGGAGCTGCAGGAATAATTGTGATTGTATTTAACTGAAGAGGACGTCTGGGGGTGTACAGGTTGTTTTGAAGACTAAATGTTTGACTGTACAGTATCAGTGAACCTTTATAATAAATCCAATGAATGTTTAGTTTGTTTTGTAAGGTCCGCTAACTCATTATTTGAAGGTGGGGAGGAGGGGAAAGGGAATGAGAAGGAGTGGAGGGAGGAAGGGAAAGGGGAGGAGGAAGGGGAAGGGGAGGAGGAGGGGGGTGGGTGGAGAGGGAAAGCACTTCAGATCCATGACTGGAGACCTAAAGAGGCAGTGTTTATTATTTGTGTTGGTGAAAGTGAGGATCTTCGGTGATGATGGAGAGTCTGAGCAGCTTTTGTTTACATTAGTAATTCATTCAGTGCAGTCCTTAGAGATGATCACTGTCCACTGCCGGCCACCTGGTGACTAGAGACCTTTATCAAGAGCAAGTTTAAGCGATTCAACCTTGGGAAACAGCGACATGTGTCTCCAGAGGTGAATGAACAGAGTTATGTACCAAGGTCTGGGAAAGTCAGAGGCCGGGGTGACTTCTCGGGTTTTAGTCATTACATAATAAGTTGACGAGGAATCACCTGTGTATTCCCCCCAGCTATTTCACCGTAATATTAAGCATCCTAACACTAACCTAACCTAAAGCTAATCTAGAATAACTTAACCGAACCTACCCCCAGGTAGCGTCCAGGTGTTTCGTCACCAAATGATAAGGTGGGCGGCTAGTCTTCATGTGATGCCTTTATTGCTTCGCTTGGAGGAGTTGAATGGGACTAAGTTACTACGTTTTACACTAACGTTTTACTTTGTAAGTATTATATCGAAACCTTTACGACATGAAACACAATCATACTGACTACAAAACAATATTTCGAGCTAGATCGTAGACGACCGTACTCGTAGAATGTTCATGACCGTACAGTCACTCCAAAAGGTGTCTTTACGATTTTGTGTGAGACAATATGACACAACCGATGGAGGATTTTGACAACCCTACCGAGACAACAGGAGCCGCAGTGTTCATTTTGGAATTCATCGGCCCCCTCCATGAATATACCTTTTGGAATGACTATACACCCAAAACTATACACAACTTATCATGATTATTGATAACCAATTTTTGTAGATCCATTTGCTACAGCAACCTTTCTACGTCACCCCGGGCATATTTTCAGATATTTTAGGGCTCTGTAAAGTTTGATTTGTAACATGAACCATCCAGACAATGCCACTCACCATCCTGTACCTGTTATCGTTGTCGAGTACAACAGGGAACTAGTTTAGGTATGCAAAAAACTGTATGCTAAGTAAACGGCTTTCTCACGCACGAGGTTGATGTGCTTCTACTATGTGTACACAGTGAACTAACTTACTACATAGAGTAAACACCTGGTGCAAGGGAGGTGGTTGCACCTGGATGTGGGGAGAAATCGATGTGAAGTTACGAAACCCAAACTTTAAACCTTCACAGGAATGTTAAAGCCCCCGTCAACACACTGGGTATACTAGAGACTCGGTTGATTAAAAAGTCCATAGGAGGGCCACCACCCTGCGCTATGACACCTTAGGCACACAGAGAGATAATAACGCCAGCAGTTGTCTAGCTTATGCTATAGGCGGGTAAGAAATGACTTCATAGATGTGGGGCAGCACTGGGAGAAGGAACTCGGTCAAGTTGCCCGTTTATCATTGTTGACCTGCACTGTCTCGGCACACACAACACAGTGTATTCCCACAGCCTACGTGCACCGTATACCTATATTGTCTATACTCATGCTGCATTGCAAAATTTAGAAACATGATTATACAATTGTAAACCTGTATGAAAACCTTACTGAATAATTATTATTATTCACAACTGTTCTTCGCAAAATCACTTTTTTAAAATAGTTTCCCATAAAGATATTTTCTTTTATAGCATTATCATAGAGAATGTAAAAGGGGAAACTTAAGTAATATTCTTTAAACCCCGATTTAATTTATATTTATTTTTTTAGAAATTACGCTTTAAAATATAAACATTTACATTCATTTTTAAAGGGATAATAGACTAGTTTAAAATTATCGGACACCAACACCTACGTGAGGATTTATGCTAATGGTAATGTTCCAACGTTGAATACTAATACTAAAATAAATTAGTGTAAATAATAAAAACATTTAATAAGAGTTTAAATACACATTTTTAAATGACAAATTAAATAAGTAATAAACACAGTACTTTTAATGAAGGCCCTAACTTACATGACATTGAAAGGGGTAAATTATTATGCAAAGTTAGGGTAAAGTTAACGAAAAGTGAAGTTTCTTTGACGATATTGAAGGGAATAAGTTAGTGATACATTATAACTTAATGAGGATACAGTTAGCATTTGATGACTGATAAAAAATAGAATGCATATTAGGTAAAATATATTGATTTATATTAGCGAACAAATTCAAACATTAAAAATAACGATGACGGAATATTTTATTCAAGTTTAAATATAATTACTTGGGATTGCACAGATGTATTTTGTGAGTATTACAAGCGTTATTGAATATTTCAGTAGTTTATGTTACATCTTTAATCATTACAATATTGTGTGTTACAATATTCAACATTACAGTAGTGTTTGGTGCTGGTACAGTACATGTGAGATGGTCCAGTCAACATTACGGCAGTGTTTGGTGATCCACGTAACATTCCATCAGTATTTCTTGCATTTTTCCCGCCGAATTTTGTCTCAAGGAAACAAGAATCAGTGTAGCGAGGTCGCCGTGTCAAAGCCCCGTTATCCGTGGCGCGGGAGACTCATATTGCCACCTCCCGCCACCTGCAGCACACACACTCTGTCCTCGACTCGGCCTTCCCTCCCTCACCCCAGCACGTCAACGACTATTTGCCTCCAGTGCCTCAGTAGCGGGAATTCGTTGTTTACTGTGTGAGAGCGAGGAAGGCCGGGACCAGGGACATGGTTTACGTCTCTGTTACACGCGTTGTCATGACGACCAGGTTAAGTTTACAAGCATGGAGTGAATGACACGCAGTTAACAGCTCGGTATAAATAACTATCGTTTTATAAACAGAAATTTTTCAACTTTTCTTCTTTTATCATATTTTGGGAGAATATGTATTACAGTTATGGCTGAAAGGAATTAGTATTTTCTAATTTTAACGTCGGATTTTTCGAAAAATATCGAACCAAAGTACCGAGCTGGCAACATGACCGCCTGGGAGCAGCTGCTAGAAGGGCTGGAACACACCAACACACAGTTCTAATTGTGACGTGTTTGTGGAAGGACAGATCACCTCTATTAAGCGTAGAAGCAGTTTATTGACTAAAACAGTGTGTTAGATACCCGAGTGTGTGTACTGAAGGTGTCTCTCAAGGCATCAGGGAGGGAGTGTGGCCAGAGGTTGTGAGCTGCTGGCGGCTAGGACTCTGTGTGAGTGAAACAGGGGATGGAATGTGATATTGCAAGTGTGGCGGCGTGTGCATGTGTTGCTGCCACCCAGGGTCCTGCAGGGCTGGCCTAGACCTGCACACACACACCTGTCCTGCCCCTCTACCACACCAGGTGAGCCACATCAACCATTACCTGGTAAGATTTAGACCCAGTTAACCACCACCTTTAACCAATTCACCTTAAGTTGCCAACCATCGTCTGATTTTGATATTCATCCAATCAAAAACATTCTCTGCTGTTAGTTGTGTTAGTATTTGGTGTATCTGATGCTCTGTGTTCGCTCAGGGTGGGCCAACAGTTTTCTAAGACACAGATTTGGTTTATATCAAAAGGTTAATGAATACCAGGATGGCATTCATGTAAATCACGGCAGTTCACTCCCTGTGCACTCTCATCCAGGAAGACCTGTTTGTGTGTGTGTGGTGCGTGTGTGTGTGTGTGTGTGGTCGACTACAGGAAGAACCAGGAGTTAGGTTGTTCATTGTAAGCCATTAGTCCACATAGATCAGGCGAGGTCAAGTTCACATTAGATTGTCAATGACCCACAAAGTCTGTCTGTTTGTGTATCTGTCCGCGCTCTCCAGGGAAAAAAATAAATCACACTTAAAGACCCTGAGGTTAAGGAAGGACGTAGACTGGTAACAAAAATTAGTACCACCTAAATATTAGACACCCAGTTTATTTTACTTGGTTAACCACCGTAAAACTACCTTAGGGGGGGGAGGGAGGGAGTTAAGTTTAAGTTAGGTTAGGTTATTGTTAGGTTTAGGTTAGGTTATTGTTAGGTTATTGTTAGGTTATTGTTGGGTTAGGTTAGGTTAGGTTATTGTTGGGTTAGGTTAGATTAGGTTATTGTTGGGTTAGGTTATTGTTAGGTTTAGGTTAGGTTAATGTTAGGTTAGGTTATTGTTAGGTTATTGTTAGGTTAATGTTAGGTTTAGGTTAGGTTATTGTTAGGTTAATGTTAGGTTATTGTTAGGTTAATGTTAGGTTTAGGTTAGGTTAATGTTAGGTTAGAGCGGTTAATCTCTAAATGATCCCAATATTCCCTCTACGACTCCCTGGGTAACATATTATCTCTCTTGTTTTCTATAAGACTATTGATTAATATTTAGTGTCTGCGTTCACTGTCACCAAGCCATCAACAAGACCTTCCCTCCCTCTCTACCCCTTCAACCCCACTCCACCCCCTCTCTACCCCTTCAACCCCACTCCACCCCCTCTCTACCCCTTCAACCCCACTCCACCCCTCTTTGCCTTAACCCCTCCACCTCTCTACACCTTCCTCCACCCCCTCTCTGCCCTTCAACTCACCCCCTCTCCTTCAACACCTCCATCCCCTCTCTACCCTTCACTCCACCCTTTTGCCCCTTGCCCTCCACCCCTCTCTACCCTTCAGCTGCCCTTCAACCCCCACCACCTCCTCTCTCCCTTCAACCCACTCCATCTCTCTCTCCATCCCCTCTCTGCCCTTCAACCTCCATCCCCTCTCTGCCCTTCAACCCCACTCCACCCCCTTTTGCCTTCAACCTCCCCTCTCTACCCCTTCAACCTCCATCCCCTCTCACCCTTCAACCCCACTCCACCTCCTCTCTACCCTTCAACCCCTCCATCCCCTCTCTACCCCTTCAGCCCCTCCCCTCTCTACCCCTTGCCCTCCACCCCTCTCTACCCCTTCAACGCCACTCCCACCCTTTGCCCTTCAACCCCACTCCTCCCCTCTCTGCCTTCAACCCCACTCCACCCCACTTTGCCTTCATTACTCCACCTCTCTACCACTCCACCCCCTCTCTACCCCTTCAACCCCACTCCACCTCCTCCCACCTCTCCACCTAATGGCAAGATAGCCGACATATTAAGATTGTATCCACTTTCTTGCACTTAGTAACTATATCACTTCTCATGTACAGAACCAAATCCACAATGTGCTTGAATACTTCTCAGGTAAATATGAATAACAAAGTGTGAGGCCAGACATACTGCCTCACACACCTGTACTCACACATTTGTGAATAAGTTACCCTTTATGTATGTTTTGTGATAATGAGAACACCTGAACACTAGCCACCCCCTGAGTTATTTCACCTGGAGTGTAACTAACCACCTTAGTGCATAATCTTACTTAACCTAACCTAACATAACGTAAATTAACCTAAATTAACCTAAGCTAACCTAATCTAACCTAACCTTTTATGTAGTGTTTGGGTAGTTGTTATTATTCACGTGAAGTAAATTGGGGCAGGGTGAATTATTTCTTTCATTCTTTCTCAAACACATCCACAAAATAAAACGCACAATAAACCCCACTGACCTCTGTTTAAACCTCTTCCATATTTATCACTTATCATCATCATCAATCATCATCATCTTTATCATCATCCCCTCATTCCTTCTTCCGTGACGTAGCCTTGAGTCAACCCGCCTTCCCGGAGCTGTGTACAAACGGGCTTTACCAGATAAGGGCATTAGTGCTCACGTCATGATACTACGAGATATGGAGGACTGTGTTGGAAATAATGATAATAATAATAATAATAATAATAATAATAATAATAATAATAATAATAATAACAACAACAACTCTAGTAATAATAATAAATGTAGTAATAATAATAATAACAATAATAATAATAATAATAATAATAACAGTAATAATAATAATAATAATAATAATAATAACAATAATAATAATAATAATAATAATAATAATAATAATAATAACAGCAATAATAATAATAATAATAATAATAATAATAATAATAATAATAATAATAACGATAATAATAATAATAGTAATAATAATAATAAATAATAATAATAATAATAATAATAACGATAATAATAATAATAATAATAATAATAATAATAATAATAAACTAGATATTATTGTGTAGTGATTAATGATAATAAAATATAATTATGTTATTAGGTTAATGACAATGAGAGAGAATTAGAGATTGAATGTGTTAATTATTATGAGTTATGACTTATGAGTAATGTGAGTCATGAGTCTAATGATATGAGTTGTGAGTCATGAGTCTAATGATATGAGTTGTGAGTCATGAATCGTGGGTAGAGAGGAGATGGGTCACGAGTCATGGGTGAGTCATGAGGGTGAGGCAGCATCTTGTGACTGCCCCTCTTTCTCTCTCCATGTAAGGTACTTCTGTCTGTCTGTCTGTCTGTCTTTCAGCCTCAATGAGTAATATACATAGCTCCTCCTTCCGCCTACACCACACCCACGTCTTACACCCACACCACGCCACACCCACGTCTTACACCCACACCATGCCACACCCACACTTGACTGACATACTCACACCATGCCACACCCACGTCTTATACCCACACCACGCCACACCCACGTCTTACACCCACACCACGCCACACCCACGTCTTACACCCACACCACGCCACACCCACGTCTTACACCCACACCACGCCACACCCACGTCTTACACCCACACTACACCCACAACCTCCCTCACACCATTTACTTTTATGACCGAACTCTATCAGGAATAAATGCCTTGGTTGGTATCTGTCTTAACCATGAGACCGAGGACGGCACTTCTCCCTCTCCTCCCCTGAGATTCCTATAGACACACGCCTATATATAAGCCTCGTGCACGGGGTCCCATCATCACTACTACAAATTGATTTACTATTTTTTTTGTTAAATGTGGCCTCCAGCCTCCACCAATAGCCACACCTTCGCCGCCATTTTATTACCTTAATATTAAATATCCTAATACGTGAGTAACTATCCTAGCTACTATTACTACTACTTTGACTCTCCCTCATTACTACTACTACTACTACTACGATTTTCTCTCCTCACCATTATCCCTCTCTTTCACCTTTACCACTACCACGACCTTCCCTCCCTCACCACCACCAGCAGGTCACATATCACGTAAACAATAGCCTGAACTTGCCAACCTTCAGTGCCCACCTGATGTGCTTTCCTGTTTCTGATGTGTTTTTTTTTTACGTCTCTGATCCACTTATGTAATTTTTTTCACATAAAGCTGCACACGTTAGGTTAGGTTAGGTTAGGTTAGGTGTAGTGTAATGGCATGGTTGATGGGTGTGGTGGTGGTGGTGGTAGTGATGTTGTGCTGGTGGTGGTAGTGTGTTGTGCTGGTGGTAATGGTGGTGGTGGTAGTAGTGATGGTGGTAATGGTGGTGGTGGTAGTGTGTTGTGGTGCGTGCGGTTAGCTCAAGACTTCCTGTATGTGTGAGCGGGTCTTCCTGGGAGCTGGTGGCTGTCCTCGAGAGGGTAACACCAAGGGAGTAACGCAAAAGGAGTTACGTTACGTTACATTTGGTTAGATTAGATTAGTATTAGAATAAACTAGGGATCTAATCTATACATAACCTCAAAGAACACCCGCCTGAACTTGAATACGAGGAAGACATTTTACTGTGAGTGTCTTCTGTCATTAACTTCTCTACAACGGCTCATAACGTGTGAATAATACCTTGAAGAATGATAGTGCAGTTTAGTAATGGTCCCCCTGTTGAGTAGCCAAGCCTTCAGAGAGAGCAGGTGGGAGAGACTGCATGGCTATGTTTTCCTGGATTTCCCGCCCAAAGACGTCTAGGGTTAGCTCCATGGACCGTAGGAAAAATAACAGCCTCTCAATATCCCAGTAAATGTGTGTGTGTGTGTGTGTGTGTGTGTGTGTGTGTGTGTGTGTGTGTGAGGAGGACTCGGAGTAGGAAGTGTGGAGTCGGGTGATGGAGAGAAGAAGGTTGCACTTTGGGACAGCACGAAACGTCTACATCACAATGCTCTTAAAGACAACATTGGACACAGTTTCTTGCCTTGGCGTCATTGCAGGCCCTGACGACTGGAGAGAAAGACCTAACCTAACCAAACCTTCAAATTATTGTTACATCAGAGAGAGAAAAACCCACTTGATTTGGCTTATGTTAAATGAATATATACGTGTGTGTAATAATCGTCTTGGTATATCGAAACACACTTCTTAAAAGACGCTCATTCCACCTTTCTTTGTTGCTAGGGTAAACAAAACCCGTTGCTATGGAATGACGTCATAGGTTTATATAAACAAACTAAAATAAAAAAAAAATCGTCCCTTTTATTGCCCGTGGTGGTCAGCTGGAAG